CAAAATATTTTGAAATAATAGATATTTATTTATATGATTATAATAAAAAAAATGTTTTATTGTAAAAACGTAAATTTTAGTTTTAATGAGAAAAAGAAAAGCGTCATTTAATTATTGATAATCTGTTCCAATAGCGCAGTCGATTTGTGATTGATTAGAGGAGTTAAAAAAGTTGTTTTCAGAAAATAGTTAGAAGAAAAAATAAATTAACCCAGCGGTATGTTTTATACGGACATTTGCTGAATAAGTTTGAGTTACATTTTTTCTATGATATGTGATATAAATCATCCATAAACTCGATACGAATCGTTTTGTGTGGTGCAGTAATAAGTAAATTAAAATAAATAAAACGGCATGCGGTGTACGCACTCGAACACTGGGATGTATTAAAAAGTTTTTATGTCACTCCGATGATATTCGTTGCCGACGGAGGTGTAGCGAATGCATTTTTTTCTATTTTACCAACGCGCGTTATTTTCCCAATAGAATAATATGCCGTTTTTTTCTCCGCTTACATCCGCAGTTGTATAGATTTTCTCAATCCACGCACGTTAGCTATGTTTATTTTTCCGACGTCCATAGTGTTAGTAAATCACGTCGTATTTTTGCATTAGTATGCATTTTGTAATATCATATATATATATATATCAATCGTACGGGTTGCTTATGGTTTATATTTTGTGTACAATTTTCATGTACGTTTATATGTATAGAAACATATTTATTTGAAACCGTGGATTAATAATGCGTTTTAAATTGTACTGCGCATTACGTCGTGCTGTTTTTTTTTAATTTTTTTTTTTAGTCTCATCACAACTGGTTTCTATTAGAGACTGTCATAAATTTTTTGTTTATTGATATCCATCCATGCTACGTTTCTAATGGTGAATAACAAGTGATTTGGACCTTACGTGAAAAAAAAAATGATCTATACATCAACGTGATTTTGAAGTCTAAACTCTATCCCCCCCGATTGTCTTCTGCAATTTCTACCAGTTATACTTTTGTGTATCCGGCATGGAAGATTATAATATTATAGGTATTATGAAGTCGTTTTGTTGTCCGCAGCTGTGGTTCGATAAGTCGTGATAACGTCGTTGAATGATATATCATTATTTCCTTCCGGTAACTGTTAAATGTCAAGCACACAGCTGTATGCATAATACGCAACTATTATATATGTACAACATAGTTGCATCTCTCGTTTCTTTCATGTGTATATGTTGTTTTGAAAACTACTATCATAATTATCACTTGTTGTCCACATATCGACGAAATGTCAGATGGTGTTTACATAATAATGTTATAACCCAACGATTAACTTTTTGTGCGAGACCACCTAATCCTAGATTCTTGAGTATATAAGGAATAGAAAAAAAATAATAATAAATACTTCCTTCCGGACCAGTCGCACGCGCGGTTCGACATTTAAATATCGCCTTTCACTAATCGCGTTTTGAGACTTGGTATTAACAAGTGGTATTAACAGTGTACGTGTTTTTGTAAAACGTTCATGACCGGGTTGATTATATATTATTTTGTATACAGAAAAGCGGTAGGGAGCTTATAACGAAAAAAAACCTCTAATTAAAAGCAATTTTGTTTACGTTTTCTACTGCTTTCGCTGCATTATTTTTGTTTATGCACATGTTCCATCACCACTATACTACAAATTATTTGATAATATGTATATTATCGTGCGCCTCCTATCGACGACTATTACATTTATTTAAAGTAGTCAGTATAGATATAATATGTGTTCGTTTTGTTACGACCACGAATTGCGTGTTGTTATGCTAATATTGTATACCATCTCTCCGCGTGCCTCTGGGTAGAGGTCAACGGTGAAATGTATAGGTTTTGTTTAAATATTATGGTAAATAAAAGACATCTCTTAAATCATTACATATTATATTTTTTGACTGCCACACATGTTGTGTCCATCTATATACCACTTTCATGTATATTTCTATAAAACACTTATTGTCTTTGATTCGTCCATGGTTCGAAACGCCTACATATATGTAATATGAACTCGTTTATTCTTGTACGTCTCATATAAGTACAACTATATGTATAATATTCGTATTATATATTCATGTATCGTTATGCAGTTGAATTCGTGATGTTTTTATATAGTACAAGAAATTCGAATATGATGCGGATCGTGTAAATCATTATGGACGGGATCTTTTTTTTTTTTTGTAAAAATCGTTGGGAAGCAGACACGTAAATAGGTGCTTATTTGGGAGGGGATTAATCTTCTTCAAAATTATTAGGACTAAAATACTGTTCAATAAAAAGGTAAATACCATTCATCTCAATTGGTAGTTATTAAAATACGGTCTTTGAGGGGGTAGGATTATTCTTTTGCCCTCTTCCCAAATTAATTGCCTGTTGTGAAGCAACTTTTTTTCATTTTTGCTTCGCGGTAAAGTAATACAAAGATTAAGATGTCTAAATATCCACTAAACTTGCGTTATGATCTTGAGGATTCAGCCCTCTAGTGGAGGTTATTGATGTGATTAACTTTCTCATGACACATACCATGAAAATGATTTTAATTAAAAACATCATGTATCAAATTTTTATGGTGTGCTACGGCTGCATACCGTCGATTTAAATGAGAAACTGATACATCTATTTTATCTAATCTAATAGGTTTTAATTTTTGGGGAAAATAAAAAAAAATTTAAAATCATTAGATATCGCTATATGTTTATTAGTCATAAAATTTGAGTATAGTAATTCTTATCGCCACAGTAAGATATAAAAAAATTACGTATTTATTTTTACTAAACACAAATATTTCATATTTTTCAAAATGATAGTTGACGTTTATTGATGTTGTTAGAAAGTTTGTAATATTTTTTTTTTCATTTAAAACTATGGACATTTTTTGAATTACTGCAATTTCAAACTATTATATTGCATAGAATGCCTGTAGTTTATTTATTTATTTTTTAAACTAGAATTTTGGATTGATTTTAACTTCTTTAGACAAATTTTGCGCAAATGGACTATGGGAAAAAATCCTTTTTTATTTTCGCACTAATGAGCGATGGAGCAAACTAGGGAGCAAACACGGTTTTGTTCAGTTTTTAATTACATAGGGACACAAAATTTGTATGTGTCATCTGAGTAATTCTACTTTTTTTTTTCTAATTCAAGCACTGTATAAGTTATAATATTCCAACCTAAATTATTTACATATTTTACTCTTAAATATTTTGGTCAACAGTTTCTTAATAATTGTAATTTAAGTGTGAAATAAATATCCACGTATCTACTTTCCTATATAACTTATATATATATATATCATGCCATAGAATGATTTATGAAATAATATTCGATATGTTATGTATTTATTATAAACGTAAATATATTGTGTTATAAATACAAATATACTATTGTTCGTATACATTTAAATTTTGCAAATATTTCAATAATAATAATTAGTGGCGGAGTGGCCACGGAGGCAAAGGGGCGATCGCCTCTTGGGCCCTCGATAGTGTTACATTAATTACCTGTATACAAAATGTAATATTAAAATATAATGATAAAACACCAATCATTTACTATTAGAATATCCGAATTTGGATGAATTAAGCACAATTAACTAAAAATATTTATTAATTAAAATGTAATAATAATAGGTTCAGTTAACCTCCTTGGGGGGGGGGGGGCTATCGATACCCTGTCCACCCCTGATAATAACAACTTAATATTTCTCGTTATAAAATTTAAAGATTCATTTAATTAATGTGACACGACCTATAGTAAAAAATTTTAGTGCAAACAAAGAATAGAGTTATGCTCTATTGTCGTTCAAAGTTTCAACTACCTAATATGAATGTTATTGTGATTGACGAGCATTTGAGTCTGTTAAAATTATATTCTATTGGATTGATAAAATTCTACACAGTTTTTTTTTTCATAATTTCTTCGCATTCCAACAATGACGATCCTATTTTCTTAACAATTATTTATACTAGGTATCTAAAACTATTCATGACGTAAACAAATATAAATTTTAAAAATGTTAAATTTAATAAACTATCGGAATAATGTAATTTTAATAAATCTTAAAGGATAATAATATCATTTAAATATTTTGTGCATTTCAGACAATCGTCAATAAACCATGGCCATGGTTGGGTGTGTGTATTAATAATGCGGTATAGTGGTTACAAATATTTTCCAAATACTTATTAAGTGTCACTCGACCAAGAACCAAATGTGCACGTAGCCATTATGTTCGCGCGCTTTAGTTTCGGACTGAATTCTCGACGCGGTAAATACGTCATGTAGTACAATCGGGTGTCCCGTAATGTTATTAATTTTTTTATAGATTTTTTTTGTTTTTCACATTTATACATAAAAATAATATGACCTAAACACTTACAAAACCGAATCCATAACGGCAATGTAATGTATATATGGGGCATATAATAAATAATACGGAAAAAATATATCTAGTTACTGTATTATTTACCTATTTAATAAGTTTTACACGAATAAAAATCACTGATTGTTAATTTTCGGTATAAAAGTATAGATATACATTTCATTACCATTTTTGGGGGATGAAAGGGATTCATTTTTTAAATTCACCATTTTTAAAAAAAATAATTTAAAACAGCAATACATCCGTCATGTACGCCCGCCACCTAGAAACTCTGAGAGGTTATACTTCTGGTGGTGGATTGGCCCTAAATCCCCCTATATATGCGCCTTGACGTATTCATTTGCAATGTAAAACTTCGCTTACTCGAAAGGAAAAAAATCGAGGAGTAGAAAAGTTTTAGTGAGAGGAAAACGAAAAACATTGATTGACTGAAATTGCATGTTTTTCGAATCGTTAAAGTCTACGGACTTATCTGCTATTCGTGTGTGCTCGAAAAAATACGAAATATATAAATTTATAAGTTTAGTTGTATAGAATATACATGTATATATAATGTTAATTAAACTCGTCATCGGGACACGGTTTGTTTCAGAGAAAACCATGTGGCTCAACAACCGACCGTGTTGTTCAAACGGACCAGGCACCATAAAGGTTCAATATACTGCATGTCATGGACGCCGGACGGTTCGCTGATAGCGACTGGAAGCAACGACAAAACGGTGAAGCTGATGAAGTTCAATGCGGAGACGTCAAACTTGGAGGGTCAGGAGATCGAGTTGGCCATGCATGACGGTACAGTCAGGGACGTTTGTTTCATCGAGGACACGACCAACAGAAGCAGTTTGCTGATTAGTGGTGGCGCGGGTGATTGCAAAATATACGTGACTGACTGCGAAACTGGGCAACCTTACCAAGCGCTTAGCGGCCATTCTGGTTCGTACATAAAAATATGGGAAATAACAATAATTTCTCAAAAAATAACGGCTGCTGCTGTGTGTGGAAAAACCTTAGAAAACTATCATCATCGTTTTTTTCTTTCCAGGTCACATATTATCCCTATACAACTGGGGTGGAGCCATGTTCGTAAGCGGAAGCCATGACAGGACAATCAGGTTTTGGGACTTGCGGACAAGAGGATGCGTAAATGTAGTCACTCCAAACACTTCTATGGCCAGTAGGGTCAGTAACAAATATTGTACTTATTTCAAAACATTGTTTAAAAACACGATAACAAATAATACTTTTGTGGGAAAACGGTATATTTTTTAAAAACGGTTCTTCGTCTAAATATAAAACACTAAAATAAATCATAATAGATAACATTTTTATGATTTTTAAGAATCAAAAATTCTTTTAGTAAATATAATGATATGATGTTGGAGGGCATTGTGCCATAAATGTTATTAAGTACTCAATGATGTTTAAAAAAAAAAAAAAATCGCAGGCTATTTTAAAAATGACATAAGTCAATAATGTATGTATGTATTTATATATATATATATATAGATTCATATCGTTTATAAATAAAAAATATTATATTGTTTTTTTTCTTTTTTCAAGAATAATTTAAAACTTTTAACATGAAATAATACAAAGGTTCATCATAATATTTTGCCCTAAATCTGACCTCTATAATTATATGATTATACAGATACCTGTATAATTTTTCATCGTGTAATGCATTATGTGTGAAAAGCTACGTGTATTAAAGAGCGTGATCCTGATTTAGTGAAATGACTGCAGTCCACTGCACAATCGAATAATATGCCCCTTCACCACGTAGGCGTATACTATTATATTAGACTATGTAGCGGGGCTATTTCTCAAGCGAAAAAATTAAAATTCATATTCGTGGGAGGTTCCGACCCCATCCCCTCTTTTCATTTTTCAAAACAACTAATTAATAATAATTATCATCTTTTGCTCATTTATGTTATACATATATTTTTACCATGCATAAATTCAAATCAAAAACTACTCGTACTCCGTGAGATATTTCATTTCACATTTGTTTAAAGCTTCCTTTCTTTAAATAACGGTGAATTTAACACTAACATATAATACAATATAGAGACACAACAATGAATAATAATAAGTTATTTACACTACTGCTAATAATTAATAAAAACCATAACTTTTTTAATGGTTTCTGTTATCATAATTTGTTTTTTTTTTATAACATTCGATGTGCAATATGTGAATATTTTCAAGTGTTTTATAGCGGTTCTCAATATCTTAATTAATATCCACGTTTCACTTAAGTATTTATAAAATGTTCATGTATCTTTTGGTCAAAAAACTTTTTTTTACTAAAATTGTACGTTATTTTACATGTACAGGATACGTTTATTATTAACACTACATTATTATTAAAGTACAAGCATTTAATATAAAAAAGTTAAATTTAATATGTACAGTTATTGTTTGTATGATTATCGATCAATTGAAGTACATAGTATACAATTAAGTCTCTTTTTTTCTGTTCGGGATAAACTCCGAAACAGCTGAATGTATTTCGATGCGGTTTACATTGTTAGATTGACAATTGACCAAAGAAGGTTTATGTGTATAATTTATTGATATAACTTGGTTAATACAATTTCTATGATACAATCAAATTTTGATACGACAAACGTGTTGTGCTCCCCCTCCGTCTAGCGTCCTCACACTCTATCTGCCACCACCATTGTTATCAGTCATATGATTTTCGTTATTTGACAATTTCTTTCTGTGTGTAAGACAACGCTGTTCGCTGTATAAAGCATTCGATAATCAGGGTTTAAATGGAGGGGACGCAAGAGGACTCAGTCCTCCTACCTCTTACAGCGCTTTTAAAGCGCTACTTTTAACATTTCTCGAAAAGTTAACTGAAACGATCAACTGTTAAAAATAATTATACACAATAAAATAGTTGAAAAATTGGTTTTGCAATTTAGTTGATGTCATTAGATGTTAAATAATATTCTATAAATAAAACTAATATTAAATACAAATTATAAATTATATAATATTATATACTTATATATATATATTTAATTTTTTTTTGTTTTATTTAAAGGTATTTATAATCTGTTATCAATCTGTTATTTAAATGATTAGTAAGTAATTAACAAGTTTAAACATTTTTACAGCACTTTAATATTTTGTGGAGGAACATTTTCACTAAAACACCTCATAATATATATATGTATATACCTATTTTTAATTAATAATCTAGTTATTGTATGGAACTTTATGGAACACTGAAAATAATATATGGATTAGAGTCCCTCTTCCCCATTTTTGCAACTTTAAATCCTGCCGCCAAATACACTAAATCGTACAGACTTTTATTTACTACCATGCTAAGGTTTTGTCGAATTATTGATCCTTTAGCAAAATTATCATGAAAGTATGGCTGAAGGTATATTTCATCAAAAACTACAGAAACTGTCATCAAATTATACTAATTCTGAAGAAACATTATTTGAACTAAACAAAAAGGTTAAAGTTGTATTGAGCCAATTCATTCATTTTGGTTTTCTTTTATCTATAAACCTAAATAGGACAGAAATGAATATTGAATATTTAAGAGAGACATATTACGGATAATACCAGCTATTACTGGCTATTCAAAATGTAAATCAATTAAACCGTGAACAAAGAATTTGTTTTAGTTATGTTGTCTATTAACAATAATGAAGGAAAAATATTATTTTCAGATGCTCTTGGAGATATGGATAAAATCTTTTTGGTCTTACGAATATGTGAATTGCGTGTTAAATTGCATATTTTTATTTTTTACTGGGAGGAGGGAACTGGCAACAAAATATTACTGGCAATTTAGTATAGGATCGTAGTTTGATTATTTAGGACAATGCTTTTATGGTCCATAAATCTTTGGTTAAAGCGTTTGAAAGGACGAAATGAGATTTACGTCATAAGAATAGTCTTATAGGTAGCTGCACGCTATTGTTCCTGGAAACTTGAATACATATTACTCTTTACCTTAAAATCGCACAAATTATATAATTTATTTTCTTATTTTTCCTTTTATATTTGATGAAATCCAAATGCTCAATGTTTTGACTTCAATTCACTACTTGCCCTCGAAATACGTATGAGCATTCATTTAGAATCACTCGCGTGGTAAAAATGTTCGGCACGATCTACACGCTGTACACGCATAATTTCATGTACATCACGATTGTCTTTAAAAATATGCTGCAGTCGTCAGGACGGAATGACTGAAAGAGAACGAAAGAAGACACGATCATTGATTTATATCTAGTGTAAAAGCGCAGTATCTGGTCACACGGCCAATCTTTTAATCACTAGTATATAATGTAGAAAGTAACGAAATACATTTGTAAATAAATACCTATTCTTGGGCCGAATCGATAAAAACATATATACGTACCAATATGTGGTAAAATAATTTAAAAAATTTTAAAAAAAAAACACCAAATACATTGTTTAAATCCCTTGTTAGTGTAATATATGAACCAAATATCATTCACTGATAATTGCTTCATCTCAAAAACAATACTTATTATTATATTCATATCAATTGAAGTAATTCAGTTTTAACGAACAAAAAAAAAAGAAAAACTTTTGTGTTAACATACTAGTTTTTTAGTTATTATTATTGTCTGTGGTGTGCACGTAGTATAATTAGACTCCGTGTTATACTGAATTAATCGGTTTTTTTCTATACGTTTTTCAGCAAGGATCTCCGGTGGCAGCCGTCTGCGTCGAACCGTCCGGCCGGCTGTTGGTCAGTGGTCACGAGGACTCGGCGTGTGTCCTGTACGACATCCGGGGTTCCAGGAGTTTGCAGTGCTTCAAGCCACACTCGGCCGATGTGCGCTCGCTGCGGTTTTCACCCAGCGCTTATTATCTTCTGACTGGTGGATATGACAACAAACTGGTACTCACCGATTTGCAAGGTAAATATTATAATTATTGTTACTCCATTTAAGCATCTATTGCATAGTCTTGTTACATTTGTCAATTGTGGTAGAAGAGATACTATATTTTCACTTTAATAAAAACTTTCGTCGAAACTTTAGTAACTATAAACTTGAAAACACATATGTAGATACACAGCGAAACATACATTATATCCAATATTAAGCTTATAAATAATTTCAGTAAGCGTAATGATACGATTATTATACGTAATTATACGTAATAATACGATAATGATCGTATTATTTGTTTTGTCTCCGGCGAATCAGTCCTAAATCATAGCGTGATTTAGAAATATCAAGAATTTTGGTGAATTGATTAACGTATCTGTTCCTAATGTATGATTCTCGACTTGGTGTATTTTGCATGATTTTTCAAGTACACGGGTTAATGTTTAAACTTTATAGTTCCTAACTACTTTACTGTGCATATAAAATTGAGTGTCAGTGGTGTGCCTTAATTAGGACCGAAGGAAATATGACCGAATAAACTTATTACATTAACTCGGTATTTTATTAATTTATATATAGTGATATATATTAGTTAAAGGTTATGTTAATTTGTTTTTGAAATATAAAACTATATAGAAACGTTTATATATATAACGTAGAACACTATGAATTTTCTTATTTTATTGTTCTTAAAATTTTTATTTTTCTACAAAATTCACTCCATGCATACCCATGAAAATTTTAACTGTAATAAGCGCGCGAAAAAATACAAAAAAAAAAAAGAAACAGTTTACTACTACAAAATGTCATCATGGCGTTTTTTAGGAACATAAGCTACATGACTAGTATGATCCAAATTGGATAGTAGGAAAAATCAAAAGGGCAGTTGACTTTATGAATATATATCATATATTTAATATATTTTAATATATCATATAATATGGGCACCTTACAAAAATATAATTTTCCTTATAGATTGATTGAATTTCTACTGAGTATTTGAAATTTGTGTAATTTTTAAACCCAACCTAGTGCCTTATAAGTAATAATTATGTAAGTTTATAATTCTTACTACTTCGATGATTGATTAATCTATGAAATTTAAATTTAAATAATGGTATACGTATAACGGAAAAGATCCGTATTTTTTTAATATTTTACCACGCGATGGTCAAAATTCTAAAATATCAATATACAATTTATTTGGGAAACAGATAAGTATTATAATCCAAATAAATTTCATACAACAAACTTTTCAGTGTGTTTGGGTAGTAGGTAAAAATCCTTACAATAAGCTCTGCTGCTTAGTAGTGTAATTAATATGAAATTACAATTTAGTTTTTGTTGAACACCATATGCCATAGTCATTAACAAATTGTCGAAAATTATTTATTAATTTTTTTTTTTAGAACCTATTTTTAATGCTTTTTTAAACTTATTTTGAAAATTTATACAGCTTTATTGCTTTTTTTTTGTATGCTTTTCTTTAGTTTTTTATTGTTTTAAAACCGTAATCTAATCATCACCATTGACGATTGTTAAGTTAAAAAAAACTGTTTTTTTTTTTTTTGTTTTTCACGGTATTAATTTTAAAAAATCCGTGAACATGCGCAATGTGGTATAGGAATTGTTAACGGTCGTCATGATAATATACATACATACAGTATGTATGCATCTGTGGTTATAGCTCCGTAATTCATCGGTGACCCTAAACCTAAACCACGAACGAGTTCTCGCGAACTTTTACTATAAACTGCACGATTATTTTTTATGCGTGAATCAATGATAATTTGAATATTAAACAAAAATTAAAGTGCATTTTTGTACACTGTTAATTACAAATATTGTTCTATCTAATTTCCCATATTTTGAGAAATTATATTGAAGTGTTATCATTTCAACCAACGTTAGTTTATGAAATGCGATAATCCATCATCCGTTTATAGAATGAACAATAAATACAACTTCTAATATAATAACATGGTGATTTGTGTTATGTTTTACAGGTGATTTGACGACTTCGTTGCCGAGTGTGGTGGTCGCTCAACACCAGGACAAAGTAATATCAGGCCGATGGCATCCCACGGACTTTTCGTTTTTGAGTACCAGCGCCGACAAGACAACCACTCTGTGGGCTTTACCTCCCTACAAACAATAACCAGCGCAGCAGTTCATTTTTATTAATTATTCGCGTTGCGGCTTTGCATTACAAGATATCAGAATGATTTTTATTTTAAATAATAATAATTTGAAAAAACGATTTTTTTTTTTTTAAAAAATATGGAAAAAAAACAGTGATTTTTGCTAACTTATGAGCTAACAATTTAATAATTAACCTATAGTGTTTATTTTGAAATTTTATGAACTGTTTTATTATTTATTATATATGCATATTTTGTTCTGTATTTTTTTTTTTTTTTTGTTACTCTTTTCTAATTTTACCAGCTGTTTTTGTTAATAATATATTATTTTTTAATGTTTAATAATAAAACATATGTGCCTAAATTGTTGTATTACTTTTCAATGCTAAAGAACAGTTTTTTATGAAAAGTATATATCTAAAAGTTTTAAAGGATTGTAAATGTATGTTATTTTTTTATCCACATACACCTGAATAGTTCTTGTACTCGTATGTTAAAGATAATTTTATAGATGTGAATTAAATATCCATGACTGATTTATACTTGAATTTAATGAGTTAATTAGTATATGTTATTCTTCAAAATCGTTTTCTTCAAGATTATAAGATCGTAGAATTTAATTTTGAAAGTTATACTGAATAGTCTAAATGATATAAATTAAAATTCCTATGCATTAAATAATTTCAAAATTATTTATTTTCCGCTAAATTTTTACGTTGATTCATCAATAATTTCAAATATAATTTTTTTGTTTGTAAATCTGTAAATCTGTAATTTTAAAGTTTTTTTATTACATCTTAATGTAAAGGTTTGCTAAGTATTATTATGAGCTAGTAAAAATACGAGTTTTGTATTAATTTTTATTTATTTATTTATATATTTCATACAGACTGTTAGGTCTAATTACAATCATATTATACTAATATACAATAAATAATTTAACTACTAGGTTAACATTTCTTTTAAATTCATATAAACTATTTACAAATGAATCTATATTATACTTATTTGCTAATTTCAATATTCGATTAATTGGCGAGTTTGATATTAAACTAGTAGAAGTTGGAAACTTGTAAAACAAGTTACTATTCCTTAAATTACAATTAATTACCTTAAAATTAATTATTGACAATAGTTCAGAACTATCTATAAGGTTATTAATTAGTTTATACAGAAATATTAAATCTAATTTATTTCGACGTAATTCTAGAGAGTCTAACTTTAAACAATTTAGTAAATGTATATACCATGAATGTGGAGCTCTATAAATATTACAATTAAAAGATAAAAAACGCAAAAATTAATTTTTTATGATTTTTATGTCGTACTTTAAGTTTAGTTGATGAGGAGAGAGAATGATTTTAATCGAGACATGACCGAAAAAGTGAACAAACGAACAATTGCAAATTCGAAGGTAGACTTGAAAAAATGCATCTAAATAAGTAAATTACATTAAAATGTTATTATGTCATCACATTATCAAACTATAATTGAATAAAATTTAAAAAAAATCAAAAATTCAAGTGACTTTACACTCACCGAATCTCATTATAATATTTAGAAAATAATGAAATAGCTAATATAAGTACTCAATAAATGTGTAGAATAATGACTAAATTACTAATATTTTATGATTAAAAATTGTTGAAATAACAATTTCTCTACCATATTTTTAAACATTTATAACATTAATATTATTAGTATGTTTTTTTTTTGTTTACAAATATACAAGAATAATAATTAATCATTTTTAAAAATATTTAAACGTTCATTTTATCTAATAATATGTTTAATTTAATACATTGTGAATTTTTAATAATAAGATGACCGAATTGCAAAATTTTAGTTGCAAAAAATAAGAAACGGTTAAATAAATTAATATTAAACCCGTTTTGTAGATAGTTAAAATAAATTTTTTGGATTGAGGGAGGTGGTATTAAGCTATACGCAAATTATATCTTTTTATTTTATTCCAAGTGTTTTCTTCTATTATCTCAATGAGTGAAAACACTACTAAAATGTACGGGCAAAACTGTTCCATTTTAATTATGATATTGTCTTGATTATAAAAATCAAACACTGCACATATGTATGTGATTTAAATACAGTTATTCATGATTACTAGTATATAAAGTAAAACTTTTTTTTGATGATATCTTCTCATCTACTTTCAACCTCTTTAATTAGATCAACAGTTATTGATTTTATTATGGTGTGTTTGGGAGATTGCATAATCGAAGTATTGGCCTACGCAGACGACATTGAAATACTAGCAGAAAGTAAAGAAAATCTCAGTGAGCAAACGGGATAACTATTAGATACGGCCAAAAGTAGGTTTAGAAATAAATGCTGAAAAAACTGAGTATATAATCGAGCGGAGAGGTGAGAACGCAGATCATGTTCACCCATTTTTAGAAATTGGGCAGCACAAGTTTCAGAGAGTTACAAGAGTTCATATATTTATGATCGATAATAACACAAAAAAATCATGAACTTACTGAAATAAAAGCGAAATTTCAATCCGATAATTAATATTACCGACTAAATAAGTTGTTAAAGGCGAGAACGAAATTGAAGAATATACAACTGTATCGCATTTCATCTGTCCAGTGGTAATGTACTGATAATAAGTGTGGACATTACGGAAAGCAGAACGAGACTGCTGATTTTCGAAAAAAAAAATTAAGACGAATTTTCGGGCCGTATATAGATGAAATCACGGGGTATAATATGATATAATTAGAAAAACAAAAAAAGGAGACTCCAATAGGCAGGACATGCATGGAGAAAAGAAGGAACTTTAATTCGAATGGTTCAATGTAGGACTCTTTAAGGAAAGAGACTTTCGGGGTGACTACGACTAAAATGGGAGGGCCAAGTCAGGAAGGATATACAAATGCTGGATCCAAATGCCGCCGAATGGCATGTTTTAGTGATAGATTAGAGGAAGTGACAAGATCTATGTTTGACTGTATAATCTTAATGGTTGATTACAAATTTGTAAAGAAGAAGAAGAAGAATGTTTATCCTAGGGTTTAACAGTATACAATTTCAAAGTGTTTTGTTCAATTAAAAAATCATACCAAATAATGATTTAAGTAAATTTTATTAAACAGTTTTATTAGGTACAATTTTTTTCTTGTCTATACAAGTAGATAGGTACCATACCACAAAAAATGAATATATATATATATGTTACATCTTATACGACAGATTATATAAAAGTATACCTTGAACTCTTAAATTAAATTTAAATTTAGTTAAATTTGTATACACGTATTGTAATGGGAGTCCGTACACTGCAGCGGTAATTAGGCCGCGGTAAAATATCGCCGCTACGATATTTATAAAAACCGCAGCATGTTCGATTTTACCGCCACCGCGCAGCGGTATTTTCAATTGACTTATCAAATATGCGCTAATAGTACCTATACTATCTAATATATATGGTGTATATTAATCTAGGCTTCATTTCCTAGAAATTATTCAAGTTATAGTTTAATATACTATTTAACTTAATTAAAAATAATTCATATAAAAATAATCAATACAATATTATATATACTTATATATATATAATGAATATCAGTGGCGTAGCCAAGGGAGGGGGTCAAGGGGGCTATAGCTCCTCCCCCCATGGGCCGTGTTTATATGTATAGTGTATCTATGTACTAAACTAGTATACTACTATTTTTATTTAAGTATTCTAAACCTTTGGTTTTAACTAAATTTTGACGATTAACGAATAACAGGTGTTTGTCTTTGGCGTAGATATTACAGATTACTAATATTTCTAGTTTCTACCATGATTATCACTATCTTTTTGATGATTATCATGCAAGGTTGTAGCGAGTTACTATCAAATATTTAATGACGTTGTTAACATGGGAAAAAGTGTTAATATTGAAATAAAAATGCGTATGTAAAAGGCAAACTCAGAGAGAAAATTTTATTTCTGAAAATCCAGAAATATATTTTAAATGTTCTACTTTTATTTCTTTTCTTGACTATTTAATAGAATCAATGGATGCTCGTTTTAATTTCAAAGGCTTATTGATGTTATGCCACTTGAAGGATTTATTCTGGCTAATTTAAATATGTATGACGATGAAAATATTATAAAAGCTGTTAAAATATATGTTCAAGATCTCCGTGATGATACCTCGTCTACAATCTGAGCTGAGCTGTTCATACGGAGGCAACAATGGAGTCAAAATACTATTCCAAATTAATAAAAAAGAGCAATTCGATGAAAGTGAAATAATAACTGAATTTACCAGAAATTCACCTAGAGGATGCAGCTGTCAGAGTAGAGCAAGTGACTGAACATTAAAACCAAAATTATTATTATTATTATAAATTATATATTAATAAATATTTTTAAAACTTTACTAAAATGCTTGAATTACATTTAAAAACTTGGTGGTAGATGGTGGGGGGGGCTTAAGGGTGAATTCTCATATCCTCTCTTACCGTACTTATCCAAAAAAGTAATTAGCCCCTCCTATTTAAAAATCCTGGCTACGCTACTGATGAATATAATATGTATATAGTGTAAGTACTTAATACCGTACCTACTGACGTACTATATAGATAAATCGTCAATTTATCAATGACATAGGAATTAATTAATTAACTATACAATTAATGTATGTAATATATAAATATATTATGTTTATACTGGATAAAAATCGCCATTGCCACAGCCGCAATGTTTTCAGGTCTGCGTATTTAATATCGCCACCGCGGTAGTGTTAGGGGACCTTTTTAGTAATAATTCGTTTTATATGTTATCAGTCGTATTCATATCACATTTAACTGAAAATGATTTGATGCGATAATCGGTTATCATTAAAAATAATAATAAAATATATTAAAAATGTTATACAATGCACATTAATCAATGTTATACATTTTATGATAAAAAAAATATATATATTAATATTATAATTCTTCGGACTGGTTTTACTAGGAGACAGCCACTTTTGACTTTGCCGTTATGTTTCTGGATCGTACTGAAAATATGAACTTTCATCACCAATTTCATTACACGATCGAGAACAGCTTCAACCTGTTCCAGACAATCCTATGAAATGGACATTTACTCATATATTAGTTCCGCCGAAAGGTTCTCCGGTACCATATTTTTCGTGGACAAATTATCAATCAACATTATTCTGACGGTTTCTTGTTTCAAATTAAGTTCATCAGCCAAATTCGAACGGCTAGCCACCGATATTGATGTTTGAGAGTGCGCATACACTAAATATAGTCGTCAATTCGAGATTCAACCATTCTCTCACTTGGTGGTTTATTCCCGACGCTCTCACGACCATTTTTAAAATCTTTATACTATCAAAATACCTAAACACAACTCAGGACTTCATCACCGAACACTTTGATCATTTTACCATACTTTTCCATAATATATTCGCCGAGTTCTACGCAAAATTCAATCGCCTACCGCTGTTCAATATTACGTCGTTCCATATTTGTTACACGCCTTACAAACACATTTTCGAAAACACAGTACACTTAGAGATCTATCAAACGAATGAAAGTCGTGAGCACATGTATCGTTAGAAGGGGATTAACCGACCAACGATTTATGTTTACAGTGTAACCACAAACGCGGCTAAAAAGTGAGCCATTATTTATTGGTCACACCTCGTACAACGCATCTGTCCCAAACAATTATGTATTGGAATGTTACCTAGCAACATATTTCATTATATTGTGATGTTTCTTTCTATTTTATTAATATAAAAAGTTTTTCTTCAAAATTATTAATTATTTTATTATTCAAAATTTCATAAAAATGGTTGATAAATGTATTCATGGATTAAATTACTTACAATTTCCACAATACTATTCAAAGCAACAAGAAAATGAATCCGTGAGTTTCTATTATATTTTTTATACGAATTCGGAACAAGTGTTTAGATTATCCGTGAGGTTAACTATACTGATTTTTTTTTTACACTTAATTAAGAAATAAATCGACGCTAAAAGTTTTATTACTTCAACAATTAATATGTACAGATAATATTTGACAGATGTTACTTAACTTACGTAATTTTCGATTTTTTTAAAAGTAAAATAAAGATCAAAAATACATTTTTTTAATAATCATTTTCATCCCACATTTCACCCAATTCAGTTTCAGAGCCCATCACTCGACTATCCACCAACTTCAACGCACTCGACAAAATCTCCAACGCACTAGAGAAGAAATAATTCTGCCCCACTGTGTTTCTGGACATCTCACAGGCTTTTGATCATGAAGGGCTACTCTTCAAACTAAAAAAGTTTCACCATATTTCTTATTAATAAATTCAGTGAACTTTAGACTGCATCTTCTAAGACATCTATTAAAATCGAAGATTTCCCTAGCCAACAAACTTACGATATACAAATCTATAATTCTTTCAGCTTGGCTTTACGGCATCCATCTATGAGGGCCAGCAAAACCATCAAACATTAAAACCCTGTAATCATTCCAATTCATATTCCTTATAAATTGCCTAATAAATATATAATAATACGCCTTATAAAAGCTGCCCCTTGGTATGTTACCAACAAAAACCTCCACAAATACCTGAACATACCCAACCCTCAACGACTTAGCTAAATTCTATTACTTAAAATTTCACTTAAAGCTTCGCGCTCATTCAAATCCTATAATTAAAAATATATCCTCTACCATCATACTTACTCATTATACCTTGTTTGTTTGGATTATAAATAAACTATTTTTAATAATAAAAATAATAAAATTATCATTTTAAACAAATACGTTTACCTTTAATGACTATAAAACTCAATGCAAATTTAAACCAAAATATAATTTTCTGTAAAAAGTTTTTAAAGATTATCAAAAGTATCATTTTACCAATAATGATTATTTTTACTATTTTCTCATATGATCAGAAGAAATGTGAGCAAAAAGTCTTTCGTGGTTTTAGTTTAGATAAATAAATTATTTTCACCAGAATTTACTATTATTTTTATTTCAAATATGTTTTTCCTAAACACTTTATTGAATAAGAACCGGGGTTTGTGTTAAAATTATAAAATTAAAAAAAAAAAAAAAAAAAAATGCCAGATACTCAAAGGCAAGAAGCTCGTACTCGTCATCATGGCAACAACACCAAAGTGGGTCCAACGTATGCCAACATATCTTCAGAGCAACCAAAACACACTACTTCTGATACTATATCTACATTTCTGATTGAAATAAAAATCTTATTAAACCCTCTACTTTCCCTTCTCACCGTCCTAATAAACAAACTCACAACGAATTCCCCATAAATTATCACAACCAATTACCAACAATTGCATTCAACCTATTTATGTAATCTATACGCCCTTATCTTTATATTAACCTTATTAATATTATTATATTTTTGGGTTTTTTTTTTTTTTTTCTATTCTGTATACCTATTCAATATTATGATACAATATCTTATTGTTAATTTAATTTAATTACGTTGTAGATAATATAATTGTTGAGCTGTAATAGTTAATACTAAAAGCTAAATAAAAAAAAAAAAAAAAATAAAATTAAAAACAACTAGGTATATTTTTTATGACAAGGAACTGCAAACGTATTAGCCATAAAGTTTGATAAATAATACATATTATATCATACATTTACGTAGACCTTAGAATATTTTTCTTTTATGCGATGATTTATGACTATCTTAGTTTGAATACGTATATTACACAAAAACAATGTCAACACTTGAAATTAATGACTTCGTGGATTAATTTTTCTTCTAGTTACCACTTTATCTAAATGCAAGTACATTGCCAAAAAAAAAAAGATTCAACGATCCAATATTACCAAAACACATAGACAACAATACTAAGTTTGGCATTTCAAGTACTAGATTTTGATTAATTATGTGATTGAATTCTAATGTTGTGATTTCGAAATATGCAGATAAATGTCTGCAAAAATCGTCTATTCGCGATTTAATTTTTCCGAATAGAGTAGTAAATAAAACGTTCGGCAATGATGAAGATGAAACAGAATATTATAACAATTATAAGGGTGCCTATCGTTCGAATGGGGTCGGAAAACAGTTTAATCGAAAGTCAGTGCTAATTATTAATCTCGAGTGAGATAATTATTTGTTCAGAATATTACTTTTAGGTACACGACCAACATTGATCCAGATTATCGGTATGGAATAACATCGAAACCATTACCGGCTGGTGTATGGTTTAAAAACAACGTTCAACCTAAAAAACCATCGAATGATAAACACGATACCGATTTCGTCACGAAAATATTGAATAGGTGTGTGGATTTAATATCAGCATAATGTTATGTGTACAATAATAGTGTACTATACACCATAATTCAATACGAGATCAGTACTCGGCGTCCACTTACTGCGCATGGGCGTGGCTTCACCTCGAGCGCTTTTGTCTATGGGAGCATTGCGTTGTTTTACAATCGGCAACTTACGAGTGAACATAATCTAAAATGTATAGCGCGGTACCATAAAGATTCACATTTAGTGTCATTTATACACGTAATCATTTTGCATGCACAGTGTCGTGGAGACTAAGCGCATGCAATTCTATAGACCCCCTATAGTCAACGACGTGTTGAATCAACGGGTTGTACGTTTGGTCGGGAACCGACCTGCGCGCCGCCGACGAAAACCGGTCGAGTACTGATCTCATAATGAATAGGGTATAGAAGAAATGCTGAAGAATTAATTAGCGTAACGGTTTTGGATCCAAAATATTTTTAAACCTTGAAATACGCATTGTTGACAAATATGCTCACAGTGGGAATACCGTACGCGTTCGGTATCCTTACATCGACAAGCGCCAAGGAAAATTCCTAGGAAGATCGTACCTGAAAGCTGTTGATGTTTTAACCAGAAACGAACCGGACGAAAAGTATTTGGGCCGTATTGCATTATTATCGGCGATCAATAAAACCAAGGTGACCGTGAAAAAAAAGCAACGCGATTTGAAGGCCATGCTCGAAATGTACAAAAGTCTTGACAAGGTAACCACCGTTACGGCTCAATATATTCTAATGACATAAGCTTAGAACGTACTAACTATCAGGGTCAGTAGCGCCTCAAGCAAAAGGTAAATTTGCGCTTCAAAATTTTTTAAATATTGGAAGATTGTCTCCCCTCCCCTCAAAAAAACTCATAAATAACTACAAGTATCTTTTAAAATAGTTTAGTTTCTTTTACATTTTTTATTTTTTGAAATTAGTCACCAAATTTGTTGGTTCAAGTTGCGCCTCTGCTGCACTGCACTTCGACATATCAACCCTCTAAAGTCAAAAATATTAAAACTAAAAATATAACACGCAAACAATTTTAAATAAGCAATGCATTTTTATTTATTTAAATTTATCATACAAAAAACGTGCCCTTGGTGTAAGTATGCCCCTGGTATACACCCTCTTGACAAGGCCTTCCTACGGCCTTGCTAACTATTTAGCATAAGTCTATCTTGCATAAGATAACAATCATAAGTTATTATTATTATAACAATGTGCATTATAACAAGTGAAGGGTTAAACGGGAAAATCTATAATCAATGAACGTATATAAAATTTGAATACCACTCATTGAATGCTACATCTAGAAAATGGCAGAATATATGAAGTTGAAATTTGATATGTGGTTCCTGTCATATTCCAAATGTGCAATAAAAAATAATTTTTCGAAAATTCCCCAATGTTCTGTACTTTAGTTATAACTTCTGCACATTATAGTAAAATAGAGACAAGTACATTACCGTGTTGCTTACATAATTCACCGGACATTTATTGTGTAAAGATGCTTAAGGAGTAAAAATAGCTGTAGTTAATTACGAATATATTTTTTTAAGTAATTTTTGTAACTATATAGTCCTACCTTCAATATTCTTTTAAATTATATTTTACTCACTGCGAGGAAAAAAAACTACCTACGGTTATTTTGGAAAATTTGAAAATTTGAATTAAAGATTCATCAATATTTTAATTTTATCATCTTTGAGAATTGTAAGAAAATAAATAATTCAAAACGCTTAGGAATCTACTGGTTGGCTGCCGCGAGAACAAGTGTATGAGGTATGTTATCAACATCAAATCAGACCGGACAAGAAATTGTTTGATGTCGCCTTGGATTTGATACACGCCATTAAGAACGATAGGGTCCGATATGATTTATTTATGGATTTACTTGATCCAAATGTCATGTTCTCAGTGGATTTGAAAAATGAAAACCACCATGAATATATCTCGACGTATAAAAACGATTACGAGAATAGATCGTCTCAAAATGTCCGATCAAATAAAAGTATACTTCGTTGTATTTTATTTTAGCAATTATACTTAATAGAAACGTCAAATTAAAAGTGATTTTTTTTCAGAAATCGATTATACCTGTACATACGATTATCCACCTGTAAAGCCGGCAGTGTTCGCTCATCAAGATAGTTTTGGATCCGAAACGGACGTTAAGACAGTATTGAGCCCGACAATATTTACCCTTTACGGATTAACTTATAGAGACTTTTTCATAGTAACTATAATAAAAATTAATCTTATTGTATTTATTTGTAATTATAACTATTAATTATAATAATGAAAATCAAAAAGCTTAAAATAAGCTATGTGTATCTTATGAAATACGTGTGTATCTGTATGTTTAGGAGCGTAGTAAAGAAGTAATACAAAAGTTATTCAAAGACGCTGGAATAAACTTGCCAAATGATACTTTCAATCTTATCTGGGATATTGCATCTCAAAAAAGTGATAACGACGGAAAAGTGAATATTGAAGGTTTTAGACAAGTGTATAATGATTTTAAAGCTGGAAAAATTCTCAAGAAAAAATGACCAAAAAAAATTCAACAAATATAGTTTCTAAATAGTTGTTATGTATGACTCAATGGTTGAAGAAGCTAGTGTGCAAATATATATCAAATGAAGAATGTTTTGAAATGTTTTTTCTATCTTCAAAACCTAGATTTTATATAATTATCTTTGGAAGATTATTTTGAATCTAAAAATGAATACTTGTAATATGATATATTTCTTGCAAATTTCTCATGTGAATTCGATTTTGGGATTGTCGCCCGTTTAATCGCCAGGATCAGAAAACGTGATGGGCATATCGATTTGTATGAGAATTCTACATGATAAACGGAAGTGATCATTATTTATTGTTATTTCACATATCTGATTAATTAACACAGTTTTTATTGTAATATAATCATATTTAAACAAAATCTATTTGAAATTCAATAAAAACTATGTTAATTAATCAGATATGTTAAATAACAAAAAAATAATTGTCACTTTCATTTATCTTGCAGAGTCCTCATACAAATCAATATATCACAACACATTTTCTAATCCTGACGACTCGAGCGTGAAAAACGCGCGGCAAGCCCAAAATCGATGTTACATATCGAATCACGTGAGAAATTTGCACGAAATATGTTACAAGTATTCATTTTTAGATTCAAATAATGTTCCAAAGATAATTAGATAAAACCTAGGTTTTGAAGATAGAAAAAAAAATTCAAAACATTCTTCATTTAATCACTCCAGAGAGTACCCATACACTAGTTTCCTCAAACATTGCAGAAACACCTTATATATATATATATTTATTAATTGTTTTTTACTATAGATTTTAGTAAGAAACTAATGAAACTTATAATATATCATTTCAAATGTTGGAATACTCGATATTTCGTACACAAAACATGTTTAACATAAAACCTGAATATTTAGCCAGCATATATTGGAACACATAACCTTCGGACTGGTTACCCGCTCCCTTAAATTTGAATTCTGTGCGAAACAAAAAATAAATTTTCTTTATAGAAATTCTAATTTTTTCACGTTATTTTATTAATTCTATTAATTATATAGTGCTTTTATACAAATTGTGACAGTAATAATCAAATTTTGTTAGTTATATTTTTATCAAACCCATAGTTTAGTTTTCGTTTTTGGAATGTTATTTATCTATACCGAATAATATGGTACAAAATGTGTTATATTCAACAAATATATCAAAAGTGAAAATGAATCAATTCAAACTATTCGAAAGTGTATTTCCAAATAATATCATAGTTTTTAACACTCACCTATTATTTCTGTAGACGTAGAAGGCTATTTTCAGGGTATAAAAAATTGTTTACTGACAAACGCTGATCAATGGTTTATGAAAATATAGTTAAAATTATTGTTATACCATACAATTTATATTTAAGTTAGAAAATATACTAACAAAATTATCTTGGAAAATTAATTCATTAAAAACAAGAAGAAAAAAAAGTATTTATAGAAGAAATTTTAAATGTATTTTTTTTTTATATATTATTTTGAATAAATGTTTTCTTTTGTTAAATGTTGATCACTTAATTTTTTGTTTTTCATAAAGTAATATTATGTCAAGCGATATAGCGTCAAAGATCAAGCCGCCGGACATCGAACCCGAGTTTCTCGCTTGCCGGGTGTTTACTCTACCACTAAGTTATCCGATCGCATAGATCTAAGACGTTATCACTCCTCCCCAATTAACGGGAGTTTAAAATATTAAATGATTAGTATTCGTCAATTAATATATAAAAATAAATAGTTTATGCATAGAAATAAATAAAGGCATAGCTTAAAGTATTATTATATTTGAAAATTACGACTGGTTTCGAATTCAAAATTTATCATCAGATATTTACAAATTTAATGAAAAAATCCAGATCCTTCCCAACCCTCTTATAAAATATTTCTCCACTCCTACGAGTACAACCCCAGAAACCCCGACCCGAAGGTTATAAATGAAATTATATCATGGTTTATAACAAAACTAAATACTAATATGTAACGCTATCTTAAGAAAAAAAATAATTTTTTAAATAACTAGTGAAGAGACACTTAATGGTGGCTACTTAATCAACCCCTACACGTAATTTTGTATTTTAGTCGTATAAAATTATTGTCCAGGATAGTCCATTTACATCAGAATATATTTTAAGTAATTTTTACTGGGTGACACTTCATCAAAATTTTATATCAGAGGAACATACAAGGAAAATTAACTCCTGTCATTACGATCGTTATGAGAATGGGTTGGTTAGTGACACGATGCCACTGGGTAGCATTCAATTATCACTGGGGGGCACTAGAACCACGTACTTTGTATGTTAAAATATGCTTTGCTTCACATAATAATATTGTAATAAGGGATTGACTCTGAGAAATAATAAAACAATAATAAAAATGGTGGTGAACTGTATGATGACATATATCTCAAAAATGATAAATAATAATAATTTTAACATAGTTCGTAAAATGTGATATAATAAACAATGTGTCATTATCTTTAATACAACAATGATAAAAAAGTGATTATGACGGCCATGGTTGGCATAAATATTTATTAAATATAGAAAAATGCACAAATGGTTATACAGTAAAATGTACCACAATGTGAGAATATAAATATAAAATACCTACTTTAATACTGTTACAGTTGAACAAAAAAATGCTTTTACATGATTAAAAAAAAAAAAAAAAAAAATATTTTGAAATTAAAATTGAGTTCAAAATTATTCATATAAGCTGATCATTCTTGATCATTCTTATAAAGACATAAAAGAACATAGTATATTTTGACAAATTGAAGCTATACATAATAAAAGAAAAATACCTATTAGACATTATACAATTGAAATTAGTTGTAACATAATGTTTTATTATTCATTACCATAACATGAAAATTATATTGTGTCAGCTAAAGAGTATAAAAAATATACTTGTCTGGCTAATATATATAATTATATAAATATATATATAATACCTTTTAAATTATTGTAATTTTGAATACTTTTAAAACAAAAAACAGTCGATAAAATAACATAACTCTGTCCTTTTGACTAGAAAATGAAATATGATTTTTGATGGTAAGAATTAAATGTTATGTGTTTTATAATTCAGTTTGGTGAAAAAATAAATCCACTAACACCGATATAGATAATGATAAATTGATTAAAAAAAAATTAGATGAAAGTATGCTTACATTATTTATAATAATAATTAACTGAGAAAAAACGAAATCATTAAAAGTGCAAAGAATCATCAGACGACATTTAAAGAGGGTACCATCTGAAAATTTTTTTTTTTAAATTATATACATTTGTGCCGTAAGACATATGAAAAAACTTACATGATTATTTAAAAATCAGAAAACAAATTTTACATAATTTTAGTTCATTCAAATTTAATCAAATCCCAATGTATATAATATAGATACATATGTTTTTACAATGTACAAAGATGATAAAAGTACGAACTATATACCATATACTACCATATATACATACGTACTTGTTTAGAATTACGTGAGCAACGGAACAATCACACACAATCAAAAATAACACCACTTACACAAAATTAGTACATACATACATGAATAAGTAAATATTTTTTTTTTTATTAACTACAGTATAAACCTGAGTTATTCAAAATATGCGTATCGGTTCTCCGAGGTGAGGTGGCAGTTACGAAGGGAGCCGTGTTAAAAATCCAAAAAAAAAAATTAATACCATTTATAAATATAATTATAAAAATTGAAGTTTGATAATTTTTCATCAATATTTAACTAAATACTTTTTTTGTGTACGGTTAGTTTATAAATTTACATATATAAAGCCATAATTGTTTTTTTATTAAAATCTAGTATAAATAAAAATATGAAAATTTGGAATTTTATAGTTTTTTTTCAATGCTTAACTTACATGTTTTTGTTTATGAAAAAAAAAAAGTTTTCCATTTATAATAATGAGCTTTTTCTTTTTGTTATTAAAAATTTAGGTGTACTTGTATATTATTAAGCTCAAAAGTAACTCAAATTAATATTTACAAATGAACACCCAAGTTTTAATTATGTTTATGAAAAAAATATTAAAATAAATTAATCATTAGGAGTCTTAACAATTTGAAATTATTTATTATTTATTTAAAAATATATATAAAGAAGCTAATAACCGTTAATTTATTCTTTCAAACAGTAAAATATCAGTTTTATAATTTAATATATTAATATGATCGGTAGCATATTTGAAGAGGGGATGATTATGGCCATCGCCCACTCTCCCATAAATGTATATATTTATCTAGATAAACATTATATTTATTTATTAAGATAATATTAAAAGAATTATAAAGAAACTTAGAATTTGATTTAGCAAGATTTTACTAATTATTGATTAATATTTTAAATAAACATTTTTTTTTTAGTACCTAATGTGTTTTGTATGGTTATTTTATGTGTCTAAGACCCTACAGTTTTTAGGTAATTTTCAAAAATGAAATTATGTAAATTTAAAAAAAAACAAGTACCTATATTAGGAGCAATAAATGTTGTTTTAACTCCCAAAGCATATCTAGGATTTTTTAGATGAGGGGTATAAAATAAATATAGCCTCACACTCATAGAGTGAGCTTTTATTCATCTCTTCCCCCGCCCCCATAAAGTTCAGTCAGATATGCCACTGAATATAATTGTACCTCCTCGCACTACAAAATCGATGGTAAATGTTACTAAATGATTAGTATAAAACGATTATAAAGCTATTAGTTCTAACGTGATAATATTAACATTTTAATAAAAAATGTAAAATGCATAATATAGTTTATATTTTATAATTGTTATTTAAAACACTATTAGTTCTTTAACGATCTAATTAATTAATATTTTAACTTTTGAACTATTAAATGGATTTCTAGCAAAAAGACATAGAAGTATATAACTGCATAAATAACTATATAACATGCATATATAACATTGCAGTAAATAACTTACGGTTAAGGTATTGTTGACTTTTGTACTCGTAAATATTAATTTAAATCAGCATTTCGTTGAATCCGCTGAAATTTGCTTTTATATGATAAATAACTATTTACTTATTTGAGAAATTAGATAAAATTATTCTTTGGAAGTTATTAAAATTTGCAATCAGGATACGCGATTAGTTAAAACTGTTGTTCAATGGTTACATTGAAAAACAATTATTATTTAAAATAAATTTTGAAACAGCATCCTAGAATTATTGTAGGTGATATTGGAATTTAATTTTGAATTTTACTCAATATATTGGATTATTATTATATTAATTAGGTACTTCAATGGCACATCATAGATTTAAGGCTATTTATAATAAAATAACTATCGATTTATTTTTTATTTTCTGTCGTATTTATCTCAATATTATTTAATGATCTTTGACCTTAAATTTAAACGTTTTATTGATACATATTTTATACAATATAGCTTAAATGTAAATAAAACACGAAAACAACTTTCTGAATTATCTCTTATAATTCATAATAATAGTCATACAAGTACATATTAAAAAAAGAACATGAAAATAAATCTTATATTTTTTATAGCCTCATTAATTATATAGTAATATCCCGTTAGTGACTAAATAATTGCTGGATTTTGTTACATGATCTTTCATATTTTTTTGTATTTGCATCAATTATCAATATAAATGTATTAGACATTTACTCTAAAACATAACAAGTAATGACATTTTCCTTGAAATACAATTATTTATATACCTAATATAATATGACGTAGAACCATAATGGGAATTAGTTTTTAAATAAATACACAATAAACTGAATAAACTACCGATAAGCATAAAAATAATATAACATTAAATGAACATCTTAGAAACTGAGTAGATGTTATAAAGCATAAATCCTTAAGTTAAAAGTTTTAATTTATTTATTTAATTTTATAATTTTTTTCTTTAATTTTATTTTTAAAAATTGTCTTTTAATATATTGTTTTGGTTTTATGTTCTTTTCAAAACTATTATTAATTAATTAAATAATAAAAAATTAAAAATTATTAAATGGTTGATACTCATAAAAATACATATAAAATAATACATAAATAAATAAATAAATAAGTAGTTTATATAAATAATAAATTAATTAATTAATGCCTGGAGTATTATTATAATTGTTAAGTATGACCAGTTTTGGATTAAATGCTTTAATTATAATTATTTATTATTACTAAAAATATATTGATGTAAGATATTATTTTTAAAATCGGTTTGTACATTTTAAATATTATTAAAGTTATTTTTCTTTATTTCATTGTGTATGTATAATTCTTCTAAAACTGAATGTAAATATTATTTTAGGTATTCAATATTTTTAAGTCTGTATTGATATCAAAATGTATATTATGGTTATTTTATAAATTTATAAAATATGTTTAGCAAACTATGAATTGTGTCATTTTTTAAATTTTTTATCAGAAATATATTTTTTATATCTATCTTATTTTTAAATGTATATTTATCTTATATATATATATATATATATATATATATATATATATAATTGATTACAATTACATTTAAGTTTATACATGTTAGTATTCTTAAAAGAAGGGGGATTTTTTTTTATAGATTTTTATTCCATTATTTATATATTTAATTAAATGATTATTACATTATTAATATTATTGTTTAAAATTTTAGTGAATTTGTTTGATTTATTATTTTGATATTTTATACTACAATAGTTAGCAATATTATTTGATGAGTTGTGTTTTTTTTTTTTTAATATGTTTTTTGATTTTTTTTAATGATATTTTAATTGAAATTATTTGTGTGGACTATATTATAGTAGTAGGTAGATTATTATAATAAGTAGATTTAAATAATACTGAGTTTGTGTTGATAATTTTTATTTAATGGAATACGTTCAAGTATATAGCATTATAGTCTATGGTATTTTGTTATTATATTTTGTATATCAGTATATATGATTTTTAATAATATAACACTATTGAGAGCCCAGAAGTCGATCGCCCCTTTGCTCTTCTGGTTAGTCCACCCCTGCTCATATTTTTGATAATATTTTAATTATTTTATTTTTTTTATTACAAGCAAAAATTAAATTATTGAAACTGTTCATTAATTCAGTCTGTTATCTTCGACATTTTTTTTATACAAGTTGAACAATAATCTCAATACTACGTATTAGTTCGGTGCCAAACTATAAAATCGATTAAAATATTTATGAGTATAAGTAGAAAAATTAGGAATCCATTTTTTTCGTTTTCGGATATTTAGGTTTATAACATTGATACCTAATATATTTAACTATATTGTACTTTAAACATTTTTCGATATTCCACTTAACGTTATTACATTTATTTTATTTTTGTTATTACAATTAATAAGTGAAATTTTTATTTCTGACATAAATTACATAACATAGCACATTTATGATTTTTACATCATGTCTACACTGGAAATTATAGAGCTCGTGGTTTATTAAGAAAAAAAAGATTAATATCATAAGTAAAAATAAATTATTTTTTTCAAAAATCTATATTTGAATAACTTTATTTGTAATTTTTGTTTAGGTTACATTTATGTTTATTATTTGTCCTTATATCTTAAATTGTGTTTAATGAAAGTTAATAATAATAATTATCAGGCGTTTTGCGTGGTTTTAGTTCCCTCCCCCCCAATATTTTAATAGACCCCGAAATTGAAACTTTATTTGATGTTATAAGAGTTTTGCCATAAATCCAAACGATATTTCCTAATTTTACCCCCTAAAATACGCCTCTGCTGTGGAACCAAGAGATTTGTATAGATATTATAACAATGCGTTTTTGACTGATTGTGAGAAAAATAGTATTATAAATCTGAGCCCGTGACACTAATAACCGTTACAATGAAATACAGAAGACATTAGTTTGGCATGCGTAGTTTTCTTAATAGAGTAATAAAAGTAGCTGTAGACTGTTTATGTCTGTTTGTCTAAAAATAATTTAATTATTTTTTTTATACATTTTTTATACATCAATAGACATCTGTTATTTAAAAACAATAAACAAGTTTTGCATCATGTAATGCTAAAAAAAAGACACTTAACAATCACAATATTGATTCAAGACTAGATGTATTGTTAAAGCACTGTTTTACTCAAATATCAAGCAGAAGTAAACTATTGTGATGGAAATAAAAGCGTATTCTAGTGTTTTTAAATTTTAAATTTCAGTCAATATTATCGCTTTTGTTTTTTTTACTACCTGATCACGATGATCGGATTATCGGTACTGATTATGTTCCTTAAGAGTTAAAAAAATATTTCAATAATAATATTTCTTCCGCCGAACATCATCATAATGAGTTAAATATGTTCACTGTTTTTTATTATTTTTAATAATAATATTATAATACGTGTACAGACAGTTCAGCCTCAACAATGACGACATTGTGTAGTGCACATTCGCTGTTAGGACACAACACTACCACGCACTCCTGACTGTGGTTAGCTATGAATATTACGCTGACAACAATTGCGACGCGGCTCGGCATTGAACACAATTATTACTGTATTAAGTGATCCCCACACGCAGTATCCGAGAACCATGAACAATATAATATACAGAGTGATTTCTATTGCTGAGCTGAGAACATTTGCCTTTTTTTTTTTTATTAATTTTTTTTATCGATTACTAACAAATTATATTGTACTAACTTATATTATAGAATTTACGTTTTCAATCGTTATTTGATTACACTATAGCAATAGGTATATAATGTTACAAAATCTCGGAAATATATAGAAAAAAAATGTTCTGGAACATTGACGTACAAATCTGATATTGTACTCTGCAAGATTCAGTACAATGGCATCGAAGTTCTAAAAAATTATGGGCGAAAAATATTTAAACACACCACAATGGCGTACCGAGGAAGGAGATTAGTGGTTTTTACCCAACAATTATTGATATTAGGCTTTCATTTTATAATCAAGCTTTTGGCTCAAAATTAAGCGGCCCTATCCTACATTTTTGAAATATATCAAGCTATTTTAAATATAAGGTTCGTCGCCACTGATTCAAAAATAATATTATAATTGTTTATGACTTTTTTTCTCCCGGAGGAATAAATAAATAAATGCCTTATTAAAATTTCGAACGCTCACCTCGAACATTAAAACTATTATAGACAATAGAACATCATTAGATTATCCGGTAACAAAGTATGACGAAAAGTTAATTGATACGATTTCGGGAATTTATAACCGCTGTAGAGTGCAGGTTGTGTGCTTAAAATTACGAAAACTGGCGGCAAATCGTAAAATGCAGAAGAGAGAGAGAGAACTGAGAGAGGAAGGGTAACACCAAATGCGAACAAAACGATGCATTTGATAATATTTAAATTAATGTGTAAGAGGAAAATAAAAAAAATATTCGAACACGATCACTCTGTACAGTGAACACAGAAAAAGCGACGGTGCGTACGTAGGAGATGGTTTAGAATGTTGTCCGTTTGTTATTATATTCGTTTTTTTATTTATTTTTTTTTTACGGTGGGGACCCGCATCGGCTAACCTGTATCAATAACGACTCGTTCAGTTAGTGTACCGTAGTCGACATACGCGGTTTTAGTCGATGGGTGACTGCTATGTGAGTGCGATAACGTGACGTGTTTGCTGCGCTCATTCCTGGCCGCCTACAGTAAGTAGTCCGCCTAAATCTGAACTGTCCGAGTCCACACACAAAATCTCGGATTTTTATATTTTATTCAAATATGATTTGACTCTACGGCGTTATGAACGTGTAAACGAACCAACTTGGACAATATTATACGCCGTCTAGTTTAGAATATTACTATACTGCATGGTGTCGTTATTGCTATGTAGGCACTTGTCCCTAGTGATTAAAAAAAAAAAAAAAAAACCAAAAATAAACAATTAAGCATGTATTGATTAAGTTTTGTTTGAGTTTGAGTATAACGTGGTTAAATGCAAATCATTCGTTGTACACCCACTAAACCACAGAGTTCACTACTATCAGTAATAATATTACTTTACATTATATTTTACTGTTTCAAACGTTTTCGCTGAAACACAACTTAATTATTATTATTATGCTATTCAACTCCATGGTTTGATTTTATAAGTTTACATCATTTTACGATCAAAATGTTGATTCAATTAAAATATAATAGCTTCTATAACTCACAGGCATTTAGTCTTAATAAAACCGTTATTATATGAACAAATATAATATTGTGTGAACTCATATATATTTATTTTTTTCACATATATTATAGCTTCTAATAAATCAATATTTATTTTATTTATTACACATCGAAAGACAAACTTGATTAACAATATTTCTGTCGACTAAATAATTTCAAACAAAGGTTATTTTCGTAACGCTGAATACTGATATTATCATTGAATCAAATTAGGTTCCATGGAAATATAATATTTTTATTTTAATTTGCAAACTAGAAAAAATTCACTACAACATAACTACATTATTTTAGAACACAAATTTTTCTTGAAAATTATGATAGATTGTTATAATTGAATTAATAATTCCTCGACTAAATAATACTAAGCACTTTTAGGGTATGTGTGCCCATCTATGTACCTACCTAGTACAGATTTCACAATGTAACCATATTATACAAGTGTTGGGCAATCAAAATAATTTACTATATTTCATTCCGTTTGAATAAATTATTACAACTAAAATAATTATGTATATTATAAACATTTCCACGTTACATCGTGGTCGTTGTTGTTAAATCATGACCCGTTAAATTACTACAAACTATATATTTTTTTAAATATTCACTAATTATTGTCTATGTTTTTATTGTGTAATCAGTTATTGGTACCTAATAATCCGAATGTACTGCTCGAGGTGGTTTAGAAATAATGTTTCATTACATCATTGTACATTAGTTTGAATTTTTTCGTTGATCATTCAAAATTACTACAGTTAATTATAATAAACATTTAAGTCCTAAGACTAAAAAAAATTTCAACAAACTGTATTTACAGTGGCGGTACATCAATTGTTGTTTTATCATAGATAATATATATATAAATAAATATATATATATAAGTCTTGGAATATATTTTTTTAAATATTTATTATTACACGATTCTCAAATTCTCAATTAAAAATCATAATTATAGTCGATGTTTAGTGTAATATCCTTTGTATAGGAATGAATTTCCATGGATACTAATGGCAAATGTAATGATAATCATCATGTATGAAGATAATTGCCCTCTATTATATACCTAATATTTGTGTAAGAATTTCAATACTAAATGCATGATTGCTATACAAGGATTTATTTTATCATGATGAATAATGATAAATTATAATAATAAATTGTTTTTTTTATGATTTTCGTTTATAAATTGATTATTTTCATTTAGATTATGTACATGCTATTAAACCTGTATTTTATCTACTGGCGCCCCCGACATAAACTATCGAAATAATAATATTACTGTCTAAATATAATCATTTAAAATTTTATATATTTTAAAATTTGTAAACTTATACGATCGTATGTACTTGTATAATATGATATTAAAATATTAAAAAAATACAATGAAAATATAATATATTTTTTTAAAAATATTTACAGGTGTAAAAAGAAGTTTCAGTGGTGGAAAAATGGAGGATGTTGAATTGAAACCCGTATGTTCTATCGCAACAAACGATCAACTTCTTAAAGCAGTACAGACAAATGATTTGAGTTTGTTCAAAAACCTTCTGGAAATAGGGTTGGGAAATTCGTCGATAGATTTGAGTGCTACATTTGATGAACCTTATCATGGCACTATATTAGACATATGTTGCGTATCGACGGGTAGATCGGAATTCGTCAGAGTACTGTTGTCAATAGGTGTGGACGTGAATGTTATCAACAAAAACCGAAAGAAAGCCCCGATACATTTAGCGGCAGCGAACGGGTGTACGGATGCATTGCGCGCGCTACTGGAACATAGTCCAACCGACGTAAACTTACTGGATAGTGATGGAAACTCGGCACTACACCTCGCGACCAAAGCCGGACAACTGGAATGTTCGAAATTATTGTTGGACAGCAAAAGCGTAAACCCTAACCAATTGAACCGAAAAGGTTTTACTCCGGCATATATCGCAGCCACTTCAAAAAATAAAAACGATACATTAATGCTAGCATTCATCAGGTACAGTACGCAAATATATAACAAAATAATCTATTATATATGGTAAGATATTCATTTCATTTTTAGATGCCCAAGAGTGGATTTGGACGTGCAGATTTGGGACAAATCTTTGAGAAACATAATAGGCGATAAATATTCACATTTAGCGGAAGAAATGTTGTTGGTAGGATCACGAAATATTACAGAGCAACACGATAACATGTTCGTGTATCTCTACTCAAATGACGCAGAAAACTTTGTCTCACAGTTAACCACAGACCAATCACATGATCTTAACAGTCACGATGGAAAACACACTTATCTCCAATACGCATGCGATTTTGGTTTGATCCGAGTCGTTCAAATTCTTCTCGATCTCGGTGCCGATCCAAACGGAATATGCCCGTCTAATACCAAGTACCCGATTTTTATTGCTTCTTTCAGAGGATTTGCAGATATCATACAACTTTTTTTGGACAGCAATAAATCCATACACTATCAAACGGATAATGGGACTGCACTCCACGAAGTGATCAAAGGTTCCGATGAGAATCACAATTCGTTAGACGTAAACGTAGAGTTGTGCGATCACGGCAGATCGTTTGAAATATTATTAAATAAAAGTAAAATCAATCCTATTGAACTCGATATCAACCAATCAGACGATAAAGGAAATACTTGCTTACATTACGCTGCAAAAGTGGGCGATCGTGATTACATATTATCTTTGCTGGACCAAGGCGCGTATGTGGGAAAGAAAAATGTACTGGGAGACCCTCCACTCGCTGATATTAGTCCGAAAATTTTGGAATTGCATCTCAACAGATGCGTGAAAACTAACGGGAAGTCTCCAAAGGACGTTAATTATGAAATTATTTGTTCGTACAGTTTCTTATGTCCACCAAAGATTTATAAGCGGAAAGACCACGATAATCATCAAACACAATTAGAAGGCCAGGAATACGTTCCGGAAAATGTCCCCGAAACCGATCCATTATTGTACATTAGTGAAGTCCCTGAGCTCAGACCTCTTCTCAAACATCCAGTGCTCACCAGCTTCTTGCATTTGAAATGGTTCGCTATAAAACGATATTATAAAATTAATCTAGCGTTTTACATAGCTTTTTGGGCACTTCTAACCGTGTACACATTGTTGACGTTTAGACTAGGCGTTCATAGTAGTACTAATAATTTGACGTCAGTGCAAAACAATAACGCTACAGAGTTTTCCGCAAACAAGGCGCCGTTTGGTAGTGATTCGGCGATGTTCTTGTGGATCATGGTATTCGTGTTCCTTGTAGTCTTAGTGGTTCGCGAATTATTCCAGTTAATCTCGTCTCCATTCGCTTACATAACCAGCTTTGAAAATTGGCTGGAAATAAGTCTCGTCATATTGACCTCTGTTCTGCTACTAAGCGAGATGTCGTCAACCATGTCGACTAGAAATCAGATATCTGCCGTCGTCATCCTATTATCGTGGGGCGAGCTCATACTTCTCGTCGGCAGACATCCAGCGCTCGCCACTCATCTAGAGATGTTCAAACGCGTCACTAAAAACTTTTTACAATTCCTGGTATGGTATTCCATACTGATTGTCGCGTTTGCGTTGAGTTTTTACATGCTGTTCAGAAACGACGAGGACGACGACAACAAGTTCAAGTATCCGAGTTCGGCGACATTTAAAACGATCGTCATGTTGACTGGAGAGTTCGATACGTTCGGCTCACTGCCCTTTGATTTGCATCCGATTGTCAGCCATGCACTATTTCTTCTGTTCATATTCCTCATCGCCATCGTCCTGGTTAACCTGTTGAATGGTCTTGCCGTGAGTGACACTCAGGCGATTAGAGCCGACGCGGAAATCGTTGCCCACGTGTCCCGAGTGAAACTCATACATTACTTCGAAACAATGGCCATCGGGGATCCATTCTCTTGGATTCACAAAGCTCAGAACCACATCAACAGTTTCGGATATGACGTTCCACCGGTATGTTCCAAGCGGTTTTATCTTAAGATTAGATTGTTTCCGGATGCCCTACGGGACTCGGAAATAAAAATTTTACCGAATCAAAGGAATTTTGTTGACTTTGGGCTGTCCACGAAAAAAAACCAAACTGGGTGCATTGCAAACTGTCAAGGTTATTATCTTGAAAAAGAAATCGTTAACGACGCTAAATTGATAATTAAACTGAATTCGGAGGAATCGGAGAAAAGTTGTATGGAAATTATGGATGTTTTTATTGAAAAGTTTAACAGTGTAGAAAAAGCGGTGGAGGAAATTAAAAGCATTTTGAACGCAATGAACTTGAAAAATGATATAGTGTCGATTTCTTCGTCCTCTCATTCTCCCATGTTAAATGGTTCATATGTAAACGTGTAGGTGATGAATTTCTTAATGTCGTTCATAATTTCGTGTCTATTTTCAAATATAAATATTATATTTTATATTTTTATACAATAATATCAACATGAACGTAAAAATAATAATTATTACCTAACATCATGTTTTTTTATTTACAAGTATCGAAATATCAAATTAAACTAATAGGTAATTATGAGTACTAATTTAATTCGAAAAAATTATCGATTGGTTTTAAAATATACGTTTTACTTGATATAACAAAAAATGTTATCACATCTTAATAATACTGTATAATTAAGCTCACATGGTTGTATGTTCGTATAAGCAAGAAATCGTAATGAAAACAACAATTTATTATTTTATATATTTATTACATAAATGATTTGGAAACAGTTTTAGATTTTTTAGTTACATGTTATTTATAATTTATATAATAATTACACAGATTTCTTTTTTTAATATGTTTCTATTTTTATGTACCAATGGCACAAATATATTAAATAAAATAATACATTTAATGTTAATTTGAATGTATATAATTAAAAAAATGACATTTAAATTATTTTAAAAAAGTATAACACTAGTTTTAAGTAGGTAATGTCATGAACGTGTAACTGTGATTAATGTTGTTAACTGATTTATATAATTTACGTGCTGTTTAAAATTAATATAATTAATTTTACTATATACTCACTTAATTATAGTTGAATACTTATATTACATTATTCATTATTGTTTGTATCTTTTGTCTAATAATTTTAACTACAATAATTGTTATAATATTATTTTAATTATTATAATATTATTAATGTCTACAAAAATGTAATCTAAATAAATATTTGTTGTCTGTTGACTTAAACTATACACATGTACTATTTATTTTATATTTTTCTATGCATGTAGTTTTTAATCTCAGTTATTTTTAATTTGTTTAAAAAAAAAAACTGGTACTAACGGTAGTTTTCAACCATTATTAATATACAAACATAAATAAATAAATTTTTCATTCGTCATTTGTTCATTTAAAATACACGTTCTATGGTTTAATTTTTTTTTCTACTGGTAATTGTTTTTATTTGAAAAAAGCGTTTACAGATGAATTTGTCTATAAACTTGATAATGTTCATAATATTATTAGTTTTTAGAATATGACGGTATGCAATTATAGTTTCTAAATATTTGTTTATGTAAAGAAAAAAATAATTTCACGCTTTAAATCAAAACTTTTGGAGAATAATTGGTTAGAATATTTAAAGAAAATGAAATTAATAATAATAATGAAATAAGTTACTTAAAAATAATATATACTAGTATATATTATAGTAACAGTTTCGAAAACAATATAGTTCTATATAATAAATAATACATTTTGTCTATTTTTGTGTTTAACTGTTTCAAATACAGTACAAAACATTGTATGAAAACATTTTTAACTAGATTCAATTTCATAGATAAAAATGAAAAAAATTCTTAAGAATTATTTGTTTACGTGTTTAAAAATGTATTGTTATGTGATATCATGAAATATCAATATGATTTAAATGATTTAAAATAAATTTAATTTTTGCTAAAAAACTAATTTATTTCATAAACATTATTATTGGTTTGTTTAAAAACATCATATTTTATTACAGAAGTGACATATACAAAGTGCTAACTTTAATTATTTAACATTTTGTATAATTTAAACTATTACACTTTTAAAAAAAAAATGGAAAGGGGTTTGAAACTCCCGTAGAAATTATGATTTGGGTAAAGTCAAAAAAATTGTTAATTTATAAAAAAGATTGAATTTACATTGAACATTTTTATTTATATTTGAGGTACCTACTATCTATAAATTAAGAATTTAGGTTATAATGATTTAAATTATAGTATAATATAGTAAAGTATAATTTAAAAATATTATTTTATGTATAATATAATACAGTAGTTGTTTATTTATTAATGGTATCAATGTTAATCGTTTTTATTTTTAGTTAATCACAGAAATATCCGTAGACTATAATACGCTACAACAGTGCCTTTATTTCAGTAAGCCAAACACGATAAATTCATTTTTTTTTTTATATAACATTTGAACAATATTGCTGTTATTTGTAATACTACAAAACCAATAATTCAGACAAAAAAAATTGTACTTATGTTTATAATATGTATACTATACACAGTACCTAATGATATAAATATAACATGATGTAATTGATATGCGTATTCAAATATTGTCGAACATATTTATTTCAATTTGTACATTAATATAATTATTATTCATATTTATTCTTATAATGGAGTTGATTTGAATTTTTCAGTTGATTTCGATTGTGAAGTTATTCATTTAAATAAACAAATAAATATTATTGTTTCATTCAATAAAATAATTTTTTTGGATATGGATGAAAAGCAAAAAGCATGTTTAGCAATTATATTAGCTTTTACTGTACCGAATAAACGAGTTTTAAGGTTTTTGTACCCGTTAGCATACTCCTTAATACGCAGATCCCATAATTCTGGCAACTGTTAGTATTCAGCAATAAAATCACGCAGGATTTGTTTATCTGTACTCGAATCACTTGTGCTTGTATTTCGCATAGATAATATAAATAATATCTCATATGATCTATGGTATTTGAACTTTCGTCACCCATGGCTGCGAAAGTGTATTGAAGAACTGTCATCATCCACTACACACGGTCAATATTTCTATAAGTAAATAAATATTGATGACTCGATATCCAAATTTTTCATCAGTCATCAATAGATATCGTTTTTTCTTACTGACTGTAAATCAGTACTTAAATTACACGATCAATAATACTGTCAGTAATATTGATCGTGTGTGGGCCGCTTTAGACGAGAGTCGCCACAATGTTCACGATAACCACCAAAAATATAGCAGTAATCGCGGTAGAAGTAATACCTATAGGTGTTAGCGTATACGCTTATGTATTTACAAATTACCTACATAACAAAAACCTGTTATTTATTAACATTTAATTAGTATCAAAGTTTTAAAATAGGTATTTAAATACCAAATGCTAGTATACCAGTTTAGAATATACACATAAATACGACCCCCTCCTCTTCCAATTGGCTACGCCACTGATCGTAGTTGAAATTGAATGAGTTTGAACTCCAAAGAATTTTTAATATAATTAGATAAATATTTTTTACCGGAGATAGTTTTTCCTAGGTTTAATGTTTTCGAAGATATTTTGACCAGAGACATTTTTTCAAAGATATGTCCTGGAAGGCTGGAACTATTATTTCAATATGGCTCTTGATGAAAGGTTGAGAAAATTAATCAAGCCCGCGCGGAAAAATTACTGCTGACCACCATTAATTCTAATCTATTCTTCGCCGGGTGTCGTACAATGTGATAAGTTGATAACGGGTTGATAACATTATTTTGATTTAGGACTAAAATCACAGTTCATAATTTTGATGATTGTGGTAAGACGGATTCCAAAATGTAATTCATTAAACGCTCTCACTTACTGCCCGGTATTACCTTTACACTACTGCATTGCGCCATGGTCCGTGTCATAACAGCTTACAACTTTGAAGGCCAAAAAGTCGATACGTGCGCAGATCCAGTGGCTTTCACATCGGCTCCTCCAAACAGGTAAATCCGGCGATTCTAATAAACTTTATTTTTCTCTTTGCACAAAAACCGTCCGTGTGAACACTGATTTTTGATATTTTTCAGACTGTTGATCGCGCTGGCTCATCATGCCATCGAGGTCCGTGATCTGTCTGATGATCCAAAACCCACTTATGCAATACCAACCGTTGATCAAGTAATCCAGCTATCTTACTGTATGTCTGGTAACTACATTGTCACTTTGGAAACAAAGCAAAAGAGATCCATCGATGACTCTTTGTACTTAAGAGTTTATTGTAATTGGGAACAATGCAGTCAAGGAACTCCGCCATTGCGAGCTCGGATAGCTGGGCGTGTTACTCCTACTGGATCCCAGATTGGAGATAATGCGTTGGATATGATTGAAATCCCTGTTAAATATTCAATCATTAGTTCATTTGCTTGTTGTCAGGTAATTAAAAAAAGTAGTTAGGTATGATTTATATTCAAATTTGATCATTGTACGCATATCATATTTTATATGGTTAAAGTTAAGTTCAATATCATTTTAAAATCTATTCCAGTTGTTTATTTAACTGTAAAATGTAATTTATGGAATAGAGTAATAATCTTTAAAGTTGGCTTTTCGAATAAGAAAAATATTTTATATTTTAGTGATTACAGTCCTAAATATTTTAATTCAAATATGTATGGTTCAAGATGTTTAAATCTTTTTATATATTAATTATTGAAACTGATAATAATATGATTGTATTAGTATTATTTATTTTGGAGAAATGTAGAATAGGCATAACATTTTTATTTATATATTATATCTCATCATACGCATTCAAATTAATTGTATTATTTTCAATGATTAATACATATTTTCTCCCATGTTGAATAGATTATTAAGTATAATTAATTATTTTTTCTTACAGGAAACAGGAAATATTATCATTGCATCTAAGTGTATACTCAGTATATTTAGAATGGTGATAAAAACACATGACATATCTCGACTACGATTCTTGGACTTTGATACATGGCCTATGGTTATTAATCTTAAGTTCAACGTGTACAATTTACAGATAGAACAAGACATTGTAGCTGTTTTTGGAGAGCAAAAAATTCAAGTATTTCAGATTCTTAAAGATATTTTTTTTTTTTTATATATATATTATATTAATAATGTGTATTAAATTAAAAATTTAATATTTATGTTAACATTTTTATTTTTATTTGATATTGTAGATATTAAAAAAAATTCTGATTGGAGCTCTAATACTAGTTCTATGAAAACCAGTAGTATTCAAGAACAACCTGAGGTTTTACCTTCTGGGCCCATTGATCTAAACCAATTATTGAAATCTAAAAATGATAACTATCTTTGGAAACTTGTTAACCCAATATGTTTTCCTATTATGATGATAACTCCTGGTTTTGACAACAGTGTATTGGCAGAACAAGAAGAAAATGCTCCATTTAATATTGTATCTATGCCTATCACTATTAATGAAACCAAAGCAAATGATGTTAGAAAAATCTTTTCATTTTTTAAACATTGTATAATATTAAAGTATTTCTATTTTTTTTATGTTGCAGCCTTGGAGTGAACCTATTTGCTGGACTGTTAAAATGATACTGCAACTTGAATTAAATATGAGTAGATGTAATATTACAAATGAGAATATAAAATCTGTACTATTGAATTTGGTTTATAGAAGACATGAAACATCGAAAGTCTTAGGTAATTGATTTTATAAAATAATAGGTTGATTAATTACAAATTGTGTAATGTAATTAAATATCATTTTACCGTTAGAAATTCTAATATTTATACTCTATGCTTCAAATAAAATCCTCCTTTAATAAACATAACATACCTCCTATTATTTTCTCCTACATCAATACTCTAACTGACTTATATCCAATTGACTATTAAATGTTTTATATAATAATCATTTAATATGACACAAGTTTTTAAATATTATCTAAACTTATCTTGTCTGCTATGTAGAGTTTTTGATAAAGTGTGACCATTTTTTTTTTAAATTTTTATTCTTATGATAAATGTAATAATTGATTAAATGGTAATTTTATAAATTTTAGAATGGAATTTTCCTCGTTTTCGCACAGAAACATACAATCATTTAACATGTGTTAACTGTTTAATAAGTTTAAAAGAAGAAGCATTTGTTTTTCATTCACTTGTGTCTCATGAAAAAAATGAAGTTAAAGTTTGTATTATAAATGAATGAATATTAAAAATAATATCTTCATACTGCAGACATTATTGTAAACTTTATTTTAGATTGCTCCCGCACAATGCATTACTGTTTATAATTTCATATCTCCAGTTATTAACATTTTTATGGATCGTTCAGTATTGCATGTATTGACTACTACCAGCTTAGAAACATACACAATTAGATTGTTTCCTTCTTCAAGTCCTTCTCCGGTATGCTATTATTGCAAATAAACAATAAAAACAATGTATTGGCTATTCTAAAATACTTATATTAATTTAGGTAATTTGATTTGGTTTATTTTTTTTTTTAGTCACAAATTTTATCAGAACGTGTTACACTAATTGGTCATAAACCATTTTTGGGTATTGTTGACATGGTACTTTTAGAAAACAAATTGATTATTTTTACTTCTGCTAATTCAAATCTTGATAATAGGTAAATATAAACAATAACAATTGTTTTGTATCTTAACTCAATAAATTATATATTATAACATTGCTAGGGTAAACAATAATTGGACGCTTTACATGTTGACTTTACCTTCACCAAATAGTATTTGTAAAGTTTTATCATTTAAAGCAAGAATTACAAGATTCAAATCTCCAAATAAGTATATCCATTTGATTAAAGAAGCCTTAAATTTAGCAGATATTGTAGAAAATTATGTATATCGCTCTTGTGGTAGTGCACGTTTGGGAGCCAATGATTTTAAAAAGTTTTGTTGTCTTGTAGCTGACTATTACTTTTTGTAAGTTTAATCAATTAATTTAAAATCCAAAAACCAAGTATTGATCTATTTAATATTTTAGGTTTAAAAAAGAAGGATGGGAATGGTCTTACAGGCTATATGAAAAAGCCAATTTACAACCAATAGATGTATTTGTGCGAATGAAACAATTAAATGATATGTATGAACGTGTAAGTAAATTTAAATTAATTATTTTCATTTGTTTTTGTTATTGAATCAATTTATTTTAAATTGTAGGTAAAACGTCCAGTGGACACTATTCCAGCTATTAAATTTTATATTCGTTCATGGATACATGATCATCCAGAGCAAGTTGATTTGAAAACATTAGTATATGGAATAAAAATGGCAGAAAAAAGTGGTGATTTATTGTATGTCGCTGAACTTGTACTTTCTGAAGAGTCGACTAGAAAACTACCACTTCATAATGTTATTAAACATCTGGAAAATAATTTAGAAGCTAGGTATTTATTAAACTATTTTTCTATTATTTAAATTATTCTAAATTTTTTCCTTTTAATTTTCTTTTAAATGTAACTATAGTTTAATTAAATTAATAGTTAATGCTTTATTATACTTTTAATATAGTTATGTACTTCTTGTACTGAAATTATTATTCAATCTTTTGACTTAGTTATGAATGGAAGGGAGCTTTGACATTTTCATTGCTGTTTTTATATTCTCTATCCAACATTGAAACAAAGGATGTTTCTGATGTTTATAATGAAGCAGATGAAATTTCAAATAAATCGTTTGTTCAGTATTGTAAAAGTTATTCCAATTTATTAATAGAACAAGTAAATATGCTATAGTCTAATTTTAAATTAAAAAAAGTTATATTATTATAAAAAATATATAATGGTACAGTAACTCAAATTCATTGTTACTATATTTGGTCCATAAAATTAACATATGGTGTAATTTTTGTATGAACTAAGTAACAAGCAGTTTTATATTAAAATTTATCTAATATTAGTATTATTCAATGGAATTGAGACTTTTGAGTATACAAGTATAATTTAATAACTGTCATTCTGTAAATATTTAATGTAATAATATCAATTTAAACTATAAATTACTGATGTCCATTTATCTGTGATGCACAATCTGGAGTTGCCAATAATTTATCACCGAATAAAAAAGAAATATATTATGTATATTATTTTATAAGTTATATTAGATTTTATAAAACTTTAATTTTGTAATTTTTTTTTTTTTTTTGTGTTTCAGATTAATTAAATTAAAGAAATATTAATTTTACCTAAAATTAATGATCTACTTTATACAAATAAAATTGTTGTAAATATTATGCACTTACAAATAATTGGTTGTATTGGGTTATTTTATTGAAATAAATTAATTTTAGGGTCGTGAATCATAAAAGGTTGTGCACCGCTGATTTATATCATTCTATAATTTATAATAGATTTTATCATGTTAGGTAACACTTTTGTATCTTTCAATTATTGATTGATCATTTTCTCGTACTATCTGTTGTAAAGAAAAATCATTTTATTTCAACACTTATATCACAATCATATAATATACATCCTAAAAAAACGTGTTATATAGTGTGGTAAGTTAATTTTAGTTATTCAGTTTTTAAATTTCTTAAAATAAAAGTTAATTTAGGTTTTCAGTGTTGAACGAATTTACCCTTGTTTAAGTATTATATACACTGGACAACCATGCAATTTTAATTAAAATTATTTAAAATTTTCTTTTACGGTTTTTTTTTAATTTTAGATACTTTTTATCTATTTCATGAGAATAATATTATAATATTTTGTTAATTATATGAAAAATGCTGATTAAAACATAAAGGTTAACTTATAAGTAACTCATATACAAAAAATAATAAATAAACTATAATAATTATACTTATAAACTGAATTTATATTTTAGTATGATTTACAAGTAAAATCTTTCTCATCTTATTCTTATATGATATTTGAGAAGGAAATGCATTCATGTTTGTATCTTGTGAACATCCATCACTTGTTTTTTTAACAAATTAAATTGAATGATTTATTTCATTACATTTACTTAAACTTTTTTAATTAAAATAATTAGTATAATATATCATCTAATCGAATTTGATAAATATTATATTTTTTGTAATTAAAATAGTTTATATTTTGTAATATATTAAATAAATTAATGGGTATGTTATTTTATTTTGAAAAAAACCATGAATACAATGAATGTGAAAATCTTCTTAAAAAATATGTAGGTAAACATTGTTAAAAAAAAAATCATTTAGATGAAAAATGATTAATTAGTTCTACTAACAACTTTTTGCAATTTCAGTGATGCTTGATATTTTAAATTATTTAGTTATAATATATGTACTTGTTTATTTATTGCAGGATTCTTCATTTTCTGATTTTTCATTGATCTTAATGCAAGAAACTCCAATTTTGATTGCTCATGGTTTTGCAGAAATAGTTTCTTCTAGTCAGTCTATAAAACTACGAAAAATCATTCAAGCTTTTCAAAAATATATTGGATCTCATATGTACTCAACAAATGTAACAGACGTTTTTAAAAAATTTCTGGAATTACATTTCTCTTGTTCTTATGGACATGACAAGAAACCAGATCTTAACAAAAAATATGTCTGTGATGCCATTAAGGTGGGAAGATGTTAATTTTATATTTTGTAAACGTATTATCATTTATTTTTGGTTTTCAGATTCTATTTCGGCAGTACTTAACAGATCTCACAAAACCAATTTCAGAAAATTGTACCCAAACTAACTCCAGAGATAGGAAAAGTATTTACAATTCACAAATACCAGGTTACATACAAATGTTACCATGTTACAACAATAATAATGAAAATCTTTTTAAGCTACAAAGCTTATTTTACACCAATTGGTTAACTAAAGATTTCATTGAAGATATTAAACAAGTCCTCCCATTGATGAACAAGTCTTCATTAAGTCTGGAGATAATGGCCTCTACAAATACCATGAAAACAATTGAAATAGTAGTAGACAAATGTCCCCAGGCTGTTCTAAAATACTCAATGGTTAGTATTTGAAATATCTATTACTAGTATTTTATAAGGTAGTTATAGTTATTTTATAACATTTTTTCTATCGCTATTTTTAATCCTCTTGTTTTTTCATAAAAATTTCATAACTTCTATCATTATTTTAATGTTTAAATGTATATTTTTTAGCGATTTAGGAAATTTACAATGATTCTTAAAAATATAGTTTGAGCCAATATGGTATACTTTTTATCTTTTACATTAATATAAAACAATAATATTTATTATTTGTAAACCTTATTTATTGGACTAGGAGTTCAAATAAGCTTTTATTTTAAATAATAAAAAATATTGGGTTATACTATTCTTTTGTTTCTTAGAAATGTATTAATTTTGTCTCTTTTTAGAAAACTTTGAATTTAATTACATCAATTGGACCATTAAAAAATATATTTACATATTACACTATGTAAACTTGCATTTAAAAATGGTAAATCTTTGGGGGTATTTTATTTTATTTTTTTTAAACTGTTATAACTGTATTTGTAAGTAAGCATATTTCATATTTAAATTATTTTGATGTATCTATTTTTTTTATTAATTTTACTTAAGGATTGTTTAAAGTCTACATCCGAATGGAAGTATGTAACAAGTTTATTAGAGAAAAAATCAAAATCAGATGTGGATAATCAGTCCAAGTACCAAGAAGTTTTACATGGTAACATTAATGCGCCTTGTATTTTTTATTGTTTTCATATTACGTGTATTTTATTTTTTTACTTTCAGATCTGCTGGATTATTTGTCACATAATATGTGTGTTGAAGACCTCTGTAGCATTCTTCCAGTAGAAAACTCAACTAATATTGGTCATGATGAGTATCAAACTTATGTTATTACTTGTCAAAAGATTAATCAAGCAAATCAAATTAAGTCAATGGTTATGGCTACTGGTCAACAACTTTTAGCTTCTTTAAATTTCAAATAAATTTCAAACCATTTTTAATGCTTTATTGCACAAGCTTTCAATGAATATTTTATTAAATATTCCTTATACATTGCTGCATTTATTGCATTATCACCAAATATTTGATTTATTAATGGGTTTTGTTCAATAAAACTTATGAAAAGGAAAGTTTTTCTATGTAAGTTTGAAATAGTTTTGATTGGATTGTGATGAATACTGAGTATTAAAGTACTGCCTTTATTTTTATTATTTATTAGTACTTAATGAAACCTATTTTCGTTGATTGTTGGTATTATATTTTAGAGGTCCATTTTGAATTTAGCAAATTAAATCAATTTTACATAATATTAATTTGTATTCAATAAAATCTAGGACATAATTATTGTTGTGCTCACTAAACATTTCACTGTGTGTTTTATTGAAAAATACATGTTTGATATGTATTTGCAGAAATTATTTTTGTTATTTATTTTATATTTTTTAATATTATGATATTGTTATCTTCAATATTTAAAAATAAAACTTAATGATTATGAAAAAGTATATTATTAATTTACATTATTTAACATTTCATTTTCTTTTACTTGATTCTTAGTTGCACATATGAATTATATGTCTTTAGTAACTGCACTACAGTAAGAGGTTTTCGTGGTAACAATTTAAATGTGTATTTCAAAAGTTTGTCGCATTAAGCTCCCTCTACGCTCTCGTGAGCTCACCTTTGGTTACCTCGTCCAAGCATTGCACGAGGCGAGGCGAGATAAAATAAAACGTATATTATCCACACTCTCAATATGATTAGTTATGTATTGATGGTTGTGCCCCGTGATGCCGAATGAAATTGAAACTGTCAGTTCAAATAATTAAATTTACTCACTTACCCACTCTAATTTACCACCCATTCAACTACCAAAATATTTTTTTTATAGATCTTTAATAATTAAAGATGTAATAAAATATTTAATAATTAAATATACTATTTTAAATAGAAAATACTTGTCAAGTAATATATAAAAAAATTTGAACTACCTGGAGTACGTGTTTGGCGCCACTGCTTAACATTTACAATTTAGATTTTAGAGATTCCTGTTCATTTAGATTATGATGCAAACACTATTTTTTAAGGGGAAAAGGTCAAAGACCTTAAGAAATTAAATAAACAATTTTTATTACAAAGATACTACATTTATATACGGAGAGTCAAAATTGGGGAATTTATATTGAGGGTGTTCCGGCCTCTGTCATCCTTTCCATTTTTTTAACTACCGTGTTATTGTGCTTGCTTCTCTTTGGCCTACCCCTATTTGTTGTTTATAGTTATTTTAGCCATGAACTAAATAATTCTTAAATAATGCAATATTTAATAAAATAATTAAAATTAAATATAAATTAAAAATTATTAAATGATTTATACTCCTAAATTAATATATAAACAAACAAATAGTTTATACATAGAATAAATAAATAAAAGCTTTATTTTATTATTATTACATTTTTATTTTTCTTTAAGTATGACAAGTTTAAAATTAAAAATTCATTATCAGGTATATAAAGTCAATAAAATCACGACTGATTATGAAATAATATATGAATGAATTACATTGAGAAAAAATCTCTAATTCTCATTTTGAATTCAAAACTGGTTGTACCTTACAAATATAATAATATATATATATATATTTATTTAAATAATAATACAATATTATTAAATACATATTTCTAATACCTTGTTTGATGTAAGTATTATCATTGATTATAGAATAGATTGCCTTCCCGTCTTCATGACTATCTATGATAGAGGTACCACCACCTTGCATCCTAGCTCCCACCGCGTTCGTCGTTCATCTACATATGAGAGAAGTACCACCTCCTTGCATCACAGCGACGCCAGCGCTCCATAGCGGTTGCATCTTACGAGTAGTCGCCAAATATTAACATTGCGTTGACTATCTATCTATTCTATAATCAATGGTATTACGTAAAGGAAACAAAGAGTGATAGTTGATTCAGGATTTTTCGAAGTTTCACACTCATCCCCGTTTCAGTACTTCTGATAATTGCCATTATCACGCCGTCACTTAACCTTTTTCGAACTAGTTGTTTCTTATTATAAGAGGTTACTCGAAGAGTTGTGTTGGCTGTTTGCGAAAGTTTGTTTTATGCCTAGTCCATATTTTTTCGTTTTGAAATTATTCGTTCTCATCTCATATTTCATTATATATTCAAACAATAATAAATAACAACAAATATTGTTGTAGAGAAATAAAAAAACTTTTTGAAAAAATGAATAGCTAGGAGATATTTCTATTGGAACATCTCGTTGGGATATGCTGTACATTCAGAGATCCTTTATTATCTTTTTGTTTTTTATTATTTTACATTAATGTCATGGTGTGTTTTTTATTGAGATTTTATTTTTATTTATGTACTATTTGAACATAAATGTTTTGGTAAATGCATTGACATAATGTGCCAATATATAATATTATTTTTTTAATTATTAATTATTTTGAGTCACACAATAAATATTATATATACTTGAGGGTGTAAATAGGGTGGTGGGGAAAGAGAAGGAATGTTTATACGTTACTACTAATAATTGTTACGATAATAGAGTATAGACACCACAGGGTTGAACTTGACGTGGTTCACGTGGGGCTTTACATGCTCCGTGGTAGTATATGGCCGATTTTCGCTAGATCGCGAAATCTCGCCGGAAGTGCGATTCCTATGGTGATCCACCGACTGCACTTCCTGATGACGGCTGTTTCTGGTCTTCCTGGTCTTTCTTCCGATGAAATTGCCTCGTCACGAATTCAAACCTTTCGTATGACACTTTCACACGTTCAGAAATATGTCGATCATGTGTATGGTTTGCTGAGGCAGAGGAATGTTGCCCGCGTACTCAGTGACCGAGTAGATTTTCAGTTGTTTGTACACTTGTCTTGTGGCATCGATAACCTATACAAGAACAACCCACACACGTTTAGCATAAAACGGTAGGATTTACTGGAAATAACCGTTAGTAGTATTGTACAGGTACTGAGACCCATGAACGTGAATAGAGCGGGGAGAGTTAGGAGGGCATAGCCTCAAAGGCCTAAGGAATGAATGTGTAGTGAATGAAAGACGAAACTTCCTGATTTTTTTATTTTCGAAATCTTTTAGACTACTATTTACGTTTATGGCTGCGACGATAACCATAATATGTCACAATGTTGTGCGTAAGTTTTTCACCGTTCGCACAAAAAAAAAAAAAAAACAGGAAAAATATTTATGGTTATGATTTCAATGACGTATATTATATAATTTATATTACTTTTTCAAGCTTTGGTGCGATTATGGTCAGTAGAACGCAGAGACATTCCAACGAATGCGCGTCGTGTGTCTGCATGAACGTGTCGATAGTACTCATTACGGTTTTGAATATTTGATCCCGCATGAATATTTCACCCATAAACCTGTGAAGCACGTTGCGTACAACGATTATAAAATGTCCATATATTGCTATAATAATAAGGATTTCAATGCAAAATGTATTTTTTTTCCAAATGTCACAAGGTTCGTTTCGTATACCAGTGAATTAAAAAAAAGTAAAACACTTTTTATCATTTATCTTAAACGTTTAGATCTTTTTTTTTTAAAGAATTTTTTTTTTACGAACATTTAAATCCATTACCTAACACTTTCAACCTGATAATTTTTACCCGCACGTTCCATGTGTACGGTCACGAGCTTTTACGTCGAACCTCTGTTCCGATCGCCTTGGGTCCTGAGGCTGTCGAGCTGTTCTCATCCGGAGAGCAATACGCCACCTTCAGTCAACATGACCGTGCAAGATTTTATTTGTTCGGTTCTGAACGCGCTCGACAACCCTTGACTTATGATCCTCCTCGAGTTTACACATCTATTTTCGATCACGTGACAACACAGTGTCGCGTATAAGGCACAGTTGTCGGGCTCGTCAATCGCTTGCACAAGGAGCGTTAAATAATAACTCGTTATAAATAATTACGCGTAAATATTATTTAATTTAAACGTGGAAAAACGGTGAATATGTTTCCGACGGTATTATACATTTGATATAACACAATCCGTGATCATCTTCAAGTAAAATCTATTAGCGCGGTCCGCTTGCACGATTACATCGAAAAACCGTGTGGCGTTTTCCTGAAACGTGTCTCACGTGATATTTTTCAATTCCGTGGAAGCATCGCTGACGTATTTCTGCAAACAATGTAAAAAAGTCGTTTTCCGAATATTACTACCGACACAATGCGAGTACAGTAAAAGAGCTGTATTGTATCTCGACTGTATTCAACTCGACGAGATTCTATTTCTACTACTATATACGTACCATAATGATTTACTATAGTATTTTTGCATTAGCTCATCATAAAATCTATTCATTCGGCATAATTATCATCTAATGCATAATTCCACTAATGGTGGTACTTAATTACCTCGTGCGGTTCAAAGACATTGCAAGATCTCCTTGGTTGCTCATTGGACCTGGTCATGGATAAATTCGTGAAAACTGGTATATGGTTTGTAGTTTCCGGAGGTTGAGCGACCGACTTCACGGTAGGCTTGATGATCATATTTTGATTCTGCTGGTTACATCGTTGATTTTCACTAATTGTTTCTTTTCGAGCATCTACTTTTTCGTTTGAGACGAACGCATTTAATTCGTGCAACAGTAGTGTTTTACATTTCTGCATGCACGTCTACAAGTGATCGAAGTGTTGTAAAACATTAAATATAGTATGTTTACCGTTAAGATATGAACTCCAGACACTTACCGAGAATACGGAACCATTGGTCGAAGCACCGTACGGTTCGCATTCGAAGATCATTTTCCATTCAGTTGGAAAATAACTGATTGTAAGTACCAACGGCAATTTATTACTTTAAATATACTACTAAATATTACTACTATTATTACTACTAAATAAATGTATCTCTACCGCTCCTATCCCTGATTATTTTTATATTCTCATTCTGATAACATAATTTCTCATTTTATCTTCTCGTATTCAACTTTATTGTTTTGCAGTTGGATTCTACTTGATTCATACTGCTTTACTAGCAATTGTCTTGCGGTGGATTCCTTTTCCTTCCATAACGTGTAGTTGATGACCTAGTACATGATATATTTAGTCGCCCTGATTCCACAACATCCACATTGCAGCTGATGTTGGCACCTCAATTATGAGGGGCATCACTTTCGAAGCGGCAAACCGGTACTAAAGTGTGCGCCACTGTTTGGTGTTGATTTTTGTAAATATTCGATTTATGTTCATAAAGTACTCTTTGAGACCCGAGACCCATATGGTAAATTTAGTAAGTATCAAAAAAAAAAAAAAAAAAAAATAAATAAATAAATAAATAAATAAATAAAAATAAAAATAAATTGTTAAAGACAACAGCATATCATTGTAAGTATACCTAATACATACCCAGATTTTTCAAGATTTAATATTTGTATTTAAATAAAAATGTATTACACTAGTGACAATAATTAATGAAATAAAATTTATTAAGGAATTTGAAGTTTAAAATGTATAATTTATTTTTTATAGGAATTTTTAATGTTATTAAACATGTTATTCGTTCGAAAAAACCAAGTATAAAGTATATGGTGCGTATGTATATGTGGGTATCCAAACTAATTCCGTGCTAGCTTATTTCGCAATGTTATTGTATTTCATGCTGGTTGACTATTTATTATTTTATTATTGTTTATAATAGTTCTTCGTGCTAATAATGAAATTATTTACGTAAATATAATATAATAATTTTTAAAGTAGTAGTATCAAATGTTACACGTAACTATGATAAAATTTACATAATTTACGATAATAATTGTCCCAATAATGTGTATGATTTATTATACAATTTAATATATTTGATTTACATTACAAGTGTATGTACAGAAGTGTTGGTTTTTGAATCAAATACTTAATATACTTAATGATACTCAGAGTATAGGGTCTATACTTGAATCATAAAAATGTATAAATTATAAATATTAAGTTAATATAATTAGTAATTACTCCATTTAAAAACGGTTACAGTTGATAACTTATTATAAATATATTTTTTATCATATTTATTACATCGAAAACAATCTACTCGTTTAATATTAGGTACATTTAATTAAACTTATATTAAAATTGGTATAATTATTATATTACTTAATGATCGTATTTAATTTAAGCGAAATTCTCCTAGTGCGGTATATTTAAGTGGGGGTTTCGACATAGACAAATGTGGCATTATAAATGTATAATTTATATTTTAAGTATTTGCATCGTTACAAAATGAAAACAATATATTTAAATTTAAATATGAACTAACAATTGAAATATAAACAAATAAAATGAATTAAAAACTATTGTTAAACATACCAATGTTATAAACGTGTAATACATAAAAATATTTATATACAATATAAGAATAGTAGAAATTATTAAAATGCTATTTTCGATTAATACATATATTATTGTAATCCATTTTAATATTTATATACACCATAAAAAAGTTAAAGTTTCTGCTATCTTATGATATTATATTTTATTTGATAATTATTGAAATTGATTGACTTATTTTGTTTACTCACTAGGCACTAGGTACTGCCTTTTATATTATACAGTTAAAATAGTTTAAGTTGTAATGAAAATAATTCACTTGATAATAATTGTTTTTACTAATTATGTATATTGATAGAAATAAAAAATTTACTTAGTTCAAATAAAAAGCTATAGAAAATTAATTTTTCTGTTGTGTATATAATTGTATTATATATAATACATAATACATAAATATATTTATTGTATGAATGTTAATTTTAAATAATGATTTTGAAAAATATCTACCAATATAAATTTAGCAAAATGGACTTGTGATGTTGTAAATCGTTTTCGAATGATTTTATTTTATTTTTGTTTTTCATTAAATCCGACAAAAATCTTCTGTCAATCTAAACCCATTTCTTACATGTTTTAAGTTTTAAAACTATTTTATAAGTGTAAATTAAAATTGTAAATTAAGTCTATAACATTACAAATTAGCATATGTATATATATATATATATATATATATATATATATATATATTATAAAACAAAAGATTCAATTCAATTGAGCAAATGTTGGATGATGTTGTACACACACGATTTAATGTTACATCAATAGTAGTTATGTTGATAATAACACAGCAATATATTGAAAAAGTAAACGGATATTTATGTGCATGAAACGGTATAACACGTTCTATAAAGCGTAAAACGTTATATTGCTGCTGAAAATATAAATGTAGGTACCTAACCATAGATATGCATAATATACTTTATTAATTTACATTTTTTCTCGTATGTTAATTATATTATAATTTCTATTCGCTCTGTGTCCGAAGTGAACGATGAGATCTATGCGTGAAATAATATAATAAATGGAGTAACACAACTTTGGAAAAGTAATAAAAACGGGAAACAAAGAGAAATGAAAAACTATTTCGACGAAAAAAGTCTTTTGTTTGTTTTATTCCGGATAATTCCAAAGGTGAAAAGTGACTTCAGAGCGGACGAATATGCGTTCGGGAATAGCCTTTGAGTCAATATTTTTCACTATCACATTGCGCGTATGTTAACAACGTTACGACATGACAAAAAAAAAAAAAAACTAAAAATAAATGTACACTCGTAAAAAACGATCCTTAACGGATGGTGGACCTATATAGTGTTGCACGACAATGTACCGGGAGTGTGGGTAAAGCTGTGAAGAACGGAGACTGAGAAAAGCGTAACGATTGCCGTTTCTGGTTCTTTCATTTTTTACCTTTTTTTTTATATATCTTTATTTCCCCGCCATGACCACCCTCTCACGTTTTCATTTTATATTTTCCCGTGAGATACCTTTATAACCATGCGCGTAGTCAGTCCTACCTGCACCGATGATCACAGACGAGCCGCAGAACCCCCAGGCAGGAATTATTTATTCCGGTGAGAACTATTAGCGCCTAACAGCAATGTGTCCTTATAAGTTATCGTCTCGAATAAAAACAACAAAAACAACAAAAATGTCAAAAATCTCGGATGAACGAGTCGATGATACGCCGTGGAACATGGACCATGCACACAAGCAGAAACATTATGACGAGGAGTTTTTTTTTCTTTTAATTTTCCCGCAGTGTTGGTTACAAAAAAAAAAAAAAATAATATGTATAAATATTTTTATTTTATACATGTGTAATAAATATATTTACATAAAATGGCAATCTTATATCATAATAATATTATACAAAACGTTAAAATAAATTATTTTGTATAAAGAGCCCCGTTCTGTACGGCTTTGTCGCCACCACCACCAACACCATGCATTGCCTTGTTGTTTTCTTTTGATTTTGGCTGCAAAAGGCGGTGTTTTCTTGTCCCCGCGGTGGTCGTATGAATTCATAGCAGAAAAATCTTTTGTACAGTTATTATTATTATCATTATTATGATCCAATCTGCCGTTACGCCACGTCCAGGATGCACGTGGGTAGATCCATTTTTACGCTTTTTGCTCAAAGCCGGCTGCCTATTGTTATCGCCTGCAACAGAATTTCACCTTACATACATTGCGTTGTTTGATATTAAAAATTTATTATTTATTTTATCCATGTAAATGTGAATAAATAAATAAATAAATAAACAAATATTGTACACTCATGCGGAACATTTTCATAATACACAGGGCTTGAAGTAGACAAAGACTCAGAGGAGACTATGATTCCTACACCATTTTGAACGTTATATACAATTACTAATTAGTTATATGGTATACACACATAACGTATAACTAATAATTTAAATGAGTTAGTCATTGTTTGTATAAAACGGTTTCTCGGAAATTTAAGGTCGATCGCTGACGAAATGTAATAGTTGATAATCATAAAATAAATCAATTATTTTTAAAAACGTATATTATACAAGATAAGGATCTACCAGTTAATGAAACGATCTTCAGACTTTAACAACGTGTTCTAGAGAATAATATTGTACTTGTGTGTGCAGTAGAAATTTGAAACGTGAGCATATGCCTAGGCATCGTCTTTCGCTATTTTTTAGTATATTTATTATTGTTTCGAAAATTTGGGCACGCAACTTTGTTTGATTTTCTCGATTAATTCTTAATCTCCTAAACTAGTACGGAATCATTGTTTTTAAAAAGTAACTTTACTTTGCCGGTTTAGAGGAATCCACTCATTATTTACTTATCACTGACTGATGGCAGCACAATAAGGGATAAGATACGATAAAATCAGTCAAAATAATAAAATAAGTTGCATTTGTTCACTATAAAATACAACTCTCATATACGAGTAATAAACGTACTAACACTTCTCAAATGCTTGGTTACTAAGATACTTAAATTAGTGGTGCGCAAAGTTCTCAGAAAGAATGTATGAACGGTTCTAATAACTGGAGATTTGATTGTATACTAGATAATTAAGAGTTGAAATTTATATAACTTATTTATATAAGTTATTTTACTTGTATTATATCGTAAGTGGTTCATTTGAGGTGGATACGATTATTTCAAGCTTTAAATTTAAAATAAAGCTAACATATTTCGACAAGAAAACATTTCAAAGTTTCGAAATATTTTAAGTTTTAAATTTAATTAACTTTAGATTTTCTAAATTTTAGATGTATATTTTACCAAAGTTAGAATACTAAAAGTTCAATTTATCTTATCAAAAAAATTTGGTTCTTTTATTCATTAATAATCTATAGAAATATTAATTAATTCGTCCGACTTCTTTCATTTAAAATCGTTTTTTCAAGAACAATTGTCCATGGGTTTCAAGTTTAAAAGACCAATACAACGATCATTTATTCACCCATCCCTGTATTTTGCCCGACTGTGAAGATTTACCATACCTTGGAGTTTTGCGCTTAAACTAGTATCTATGCATGCAATCATAAGCAATAAGTTCTTGTAATACTAATTTTTGGTTATGGGTAAACAATGAAGTAATACTCTGTGGGTTATGCAAGTCTACCTACCCGGACGACAATGAAAACGAAAATATTATTTTACAAAATCTTTATTTCTACATTACGTTATGCTTTAAATCATTATGTTAGCACAGAAAATGTATTCTTAAAGATTAAATTATATTTTTAAAATACAAATTTAATATTTTATACCTATACGTACTGGAAATTTGTTGGGGACTAATTTCAGTTTCGAACGGTTTTCTTTTTCTATGACCTGTTATTCCCCATTATTTTCATATTATTGTGTAATAATTTAACATTGGAAATGACATTATAAAATATTAAAATAATCATTCTGAATAAAATCCTTACACGTATTTGGCATTAAAGTTGTCAACCATAAAATAATGGCAGCAAGAAACTTCGGCTACCGCGTTGTCATTTCACGGTCACTAGCTATCTCGGTGCCACCACCGTCCGCCGGGTATAACACGATTGCGTACGTTTGTCCTTTTTGGCAATACGATTGTGTATGTTTGTAGATGGGTGACAAAAAAGTGAAAAAGTGGGTAAGAAAAATAAACTCGATTGCGTATGAAATTGTATGCAGCGTTATCAAATTTACTAATTTTATCGTATTGAAAAAAAATAATGATAGTATGTAATATATATATACAGGGTGTTTCTGAAGTGTGTGAGGTAATTAGTATACGCATACTCACTGTGATGCCACAATGAAGATTTTTTTGGAATTTTTTTCTAACTTCAAAATCTGGGTTTTTTTAAGTTATTTTTAGAATATTATCTTGAATGTAAAAATAAACACTTTAGTCGTATTTGTTGCAAAATTCTCATACGAATCGAGATATCGCATAATTTTTGCGCTTGTCGCGCGTTTTTCGCGCTCGAATCGCCAACTAAAAAAAAAGTCGTGCGACACATCGATTTGTATGAGAATACTGCAAGATAACCAGTGGTGATAATTATTTGTTGTCATTGATAATACACGATTAATAAACACATTGTTTTACATTATAAAATAATCATAATTAAATAAAAAGTACAATTTATTTAAAAATTGTTATCTACATCTACATTTTTATCTACAAAAGATGTTCAATGTGTCCACCGTTAACTTCAATACACTTTTCCATACGACGATGTAATGAACCCCAAGTTTTTTTCAACAAATTTGGTGTTTGACGAATAATATCAGCTACATTATTGATTCTCATCAACAGTTCATTTCTATTATTCACCTCTTTGGCATAAACTTGTTCCTTTATAAAACCCCATAAGAAAAAATCACATGGGTTAAAATCAGGACTGCGAGGTGGCCATATTATATCTGGATGATATTGAGCATTGTGTCCAGCTTCTCTACCAATAATTTTGTCAGGGAAAAGATAGTGCAATTGTTGTCGGACTGCATTTGTATGATATGGAGGTGCGCCATCTAACATAAACCACATTGTTTCTTGTTCTTCCAATGGTAGGTTCTCTAATATTACCGGAAGATGATGCATAATAAAAAATAAAAAACCCTTGTCCATTTAACCTAGCTGGTAATTCATGTGGGCCTAATAAAGTATTTCCCACTAATCCACACCAGATATTTATGCTAAATTTGTACTGGGAACCCCTTATACGAATAGCGTGTAGATTTTCTTCAGACCATAAATGCGAATTGTGTTGATTAAAAATTCCATCTTTTGTAAAAAACAGCCTCGTCAGTAAATAAGATATTTTTTAAAAAATTTGGATTCATTGCAATTTTACCAATAATTGTTTGTGAAAAAAATTAACCTAGCAAGACAGTCACGTGGTAATAGTTCTTGAACTCGTTGTCGATGATAGGGGTACATGTGATTTTCGTGTAATATTCTCCATACTACTGATGGAGAAATCCCAGTTCTTAAGGCTATGCGTCGGACACTAAGTTCCGGATCCTCATGTACTAAATCAAGTACCAATTCTTCATTCGCTACATTACGTACAAATCTCGGGCGTCCAAGTTCATTCACAGGTCTCACGTTACCTGAAAAAGACAACATTTTTTAATATTGTGTAAGTGTAGAATGTACTTATTTAAAATGTCATATTTGCTTAGAATTCTTACCAGTTTCACTCAGACGACGATAAGTAGTTAAAAAAGTATTTGGTCGAGGTACTCTACGCTGAGGAAATCGTTCTGCCCATAACCTAGCTGCAAGATTTCCATTTCCATCAGCTAAACCTAGTCACAATTAATAAATAAATAAATAGTTTGTTTCGTATTACCTACATGTCGCTTACGACAACTTAAAATAGTTATACGGGTATGTTTTGTGATAAAGTAAAATACCTAGAGTTTTTAATAAAACAAATCACCAATGGGTGATATTAGTTTAATATTTAAACTAATTAATTAAATGCATTGGTACTTACCCAACATAAAAACCATGTCTGCATATTCAATGTTTGTGTACGCCATTGCGCAAAAATCAAAATTTAAATTAAAAACTTTAAATCTTAAAAATAAATATTAATATTTTAAATGCCGTACAATGACAAGTATTGGACTGAGCTCTAATCAGACTGACTAATGTTCATCATGTACCTACTCTGTAAGGAGTACGGTCAATTCAATATTAACGATAAAAGTATAATATTGGGTTCACTAATAAATAATAATAATAGTAGGTATAAAATAAAATGTTTATCTTATCGAGTCAAAATAATTATGTTAGGTAGGTACTGTGATATCCAAAAACTGCAATTTCAGTATAAACACACAAATAGGTAGTTTCTTTTATGTCTAACTATTATAACTTTATAAAGTTAAAAGTTATTTAATAAAGGTATTACATAAATGTATGCTAATTGCTAGAAAATTTGATCGTTTAAAACTCTGTTAACCCTAATTTTATTATTATTTCATATTTTTTATTAGTCGACAATGTAAAACAATGTGTTTATTAATCGTGTATTATCAATGACAACAAATAATTATCACCACTGGTTATCTTGCAGTATTCTCATACAAATCGATGTGTCGCACGACTTTTTTTTTAGTTGGCGATTCGAGCGCGAAAAACGCGCGACAAGCGCAAAAATTATGCGATATCTCGATTCGTATGAGAATTTTGCAACAAATACGACTAAAGTGTTTATTTTTACATTCAAGATAATATTCTAAAAATAACTTAAAAAAACCCAGATTTTGAAGTTAGAAAAAAAATTCCAAAAAAATCTTCATTGTGGCATCACAGTGAGTATGCGTATACTAATTACCTCACACACTTCAGAAATACCCTGTATAATAGTAATATGAAGATAACTAAATAAAAGAAAAGTTATTAATAAATAAATAAAATTTACAGTTTTTATTTGAATGAAATGATTATTAATAAATTATTTGAAAATGTTTAAATTTGGATTCCTTAAAATCTATAATCTACTACTTTTACCGAAACTCGGAAAATATCGAATAATAAAACGGAAATAATGAAATTTCGTTGTATCTGATATATTTGATATCATTAATAGTAAACATATATAATAAAAGCAATAAAACAGAAAGTATGCATTACATTTTGTAAGTTCTCTCGTATAGGCATGTGGTATA